CAAGGTTCTGTACTTGGACTAATTCTATTCACTTTATATATGCTTCCCTTAGGCAATATTATTAGGAATCACTCCATTAACTTTCATAGTTATGCTGATGATACCCATTTATACCTGTCGATCAAGCCCGATGAAATTAAGCAGTTATCTAAGTTACAAACATGTCTTAAGGACATAAATACCTGGATGAGCTGCAATTTTCTGATGCTAAACTCGGGAAAGGGACTCACTGTCTAAAGATGTAGTTACTCTAGATGGTATTACCTTGGCCTCTAGCACCACTGTCAGGAATCTTGGAGTTATCTTTGATCAGGACATGTCCTTTAATTCCCACATAAAGCAGACCTCTAGGACTGCCTTTTTTCATTTACGCAATATTACAAAAATTAGACACATCCTATCACAGACGGATTCAGAAAAACTAATTCATGCATTTGTTACTTCTGGGCTGGATTACTGCAACTCCTTATTATCAGGCTGCCCCAATAAGTCCATTAAGGCACTACAATTAATTCAGAATGCTGCAGCACGAGTACTGCCAGGAACAAGGAAAGAGATCGTATCTCTCCTGTATTAGCTTCTCTGCACTGGCTCACTGTAAAATTAGTTACAGTGTAGTAGAATTTAAAGTCCTCCTCCTCATGGATCCTGGTGGAGCCTTCTGCCATGGTCCTGCTTGACCATTGCTAATATCACTGATATTATTGTTATTATTATTACTACTATTATTATTACTACAGATACTATTATTTCTATAATCACTGCTCATTGACTCCCCTCGTTGTTGTCGTTGTCATCATCATCTTCTTCATGTTCATCATCATCAGTCACTACTATTAGTGCAGTTGTTGCTACTGTTGTTGCTGTGCACCTTTGTCTCTGTCTCTGTCCTTCTGTCATTACCTCTGTTCTCTCTCTGTCTCTCTCTGTCTCTGTCTCCCTGTCTCTCTCTCTCTCTCTCTCTCTCTCTCTCTCTCTCTCTCTCTCTCTCTCTCTCTCTCTCCCTCTCTCTCTCTCTCTCTCTCTCTCACCCCAACTGGTCGAGGCAGACTACCACCTACCTAGAGCCGGGGTCTGTCCAAGGTTTCTGCCTGTTAAAAGGAAGTTTTTTCCTTGCCGCGTCACCAAGTGCTTGCTCATGGTGGTTACTGTTGGGTCTCTGTAAATAATGTTAATCCAATCCAATCCACTTTATCTATATAGCACGATTTTAATAAACACAAGGTTTCCAAAGTGCTGCACAAAAAGATTCAATGTTCAATTCACTGTTATTTGTATAGCAAATATAAGGAGTTCGGTCTAGATCTGCTCTATTTGAAAAGTGTCCTGAGATAACTTCTGTTATGAATTGGCGCTATACAAATAAAACTGAATTGAATTGAATTGAAATTGAATATTGATATTCTCATCTAATGTATGAATATCAGCATTTTGTGTGTTGAAAATAGCAAAAAAAAAACACCTTCTACTGTTTTAATTCACCCTGAACCTTGTAAGCCCAATGCTGAGATAGAGATTTACTTAATGAAATTTATATAAAAAAGAGTGTTAAGACCCTCTAATCAGAGGAGGGCAGCCCACCTCCCACAGCCTCCGCTATAGTGTACCAGTGCCAGCCACAGCAGCTATCATACCTGGTAGCACCTGCTGAAGAACTATTAAATTTATGGATATACAATAACTGTCATAATAAAGTGGATTTCAGCATGGGAGTTTAAAAAAGCAAAACAAAGCTGGTTGGAAAAGCCCATATCAGAGAAAAACATACAGTAGTATTAGTGATTATGTTCTTGCAGGCACATGACAAGCAGCTTTTTATAACTTTTCTCTATTTCATGTAGCCCCTTTGAGTGTGTACCAGCTACAGCAGCTATCATACCTGGTAGCACCTGCTGATCCCCCATGAAGAACTACTCATCAGTTTCTGGATAATCAAAAAGTCTCAAAGTGAAACAAATTGTTGCACAGAAGTTGGAAAAAATTAACAAAGCTGGTTAAAAAAAGCCGGACTTTCAGTCAGCACTATAATAAACAGTTGTAAAATGGGACCTAACGCAATGTCTTTTGAGCCTGGGCTGTTGATGTTTTAAGTCTACGCTTGAATCAAAGTGTTCATTTGTATGTTTTGAGTCCTGGCTGTGCTGGTGAAGGCAGTATGAGGAGAAAAAGAGATTAAACATGTGGGTGTGTGATCTTGAACATTTCTTTGATTTCTTTTTTTTCCCTGTTTTTTTCTAGCACATTTGCGTTGTTCAGGATGTGAATGTGTAGGAGTGGAAGACGTGTGGAACAGAGCCCTTATCGTTTCTGCACCATTCCTCCACTTACTGTTTTTTTTCTGCCCTTTTCTTCTCATTCGCTGCCTTTCATGGGATCTTCTTTTGTTCTTCTCAGCTTCACTATCATTTGCTGAGGTGTAAATTGGTCTTCCGAGGAGCTACACTATCCAAAATGCATAATACTGTAGCTTTCAAACTTGTTGAGTCCCAGAGTGAGTGTGGGTGCGGAGAACTGGAAGGCTTCTAAATGTCTCTGTTTGCTTCAAACAGTCTTAATCATACAACCAGTTATTCACATCTTATGGTTTCTATCTGTCCTGAATGAATCAAGTGTTACATACTGCAGCTATACCACAGTGATATTGCTGCACAATATGCCTCCTTTTTGTTCGGTCTCTACCTGTTTGCCCCATGTCATTATTCATGACATGATTATTTTTATTTTGGATTAGTCTGTCAGTCATTTTTTTGATTAATCCATTAGTTGTTTAATAAAGATATTCAGTTTACTGTCATAGAGGACTAAAGAAACCAGAAAATGTTCACATTTTAGAGAAATCAGAGAATCAGAGAATTTGGATTTCTTCTTAAAATGACTTTTTTAATAAATTATGAAAAATAGTTGCAGATTAATGTAATCGTTGACAACTAAATAAATAACAATTAATTGACTAATTGTTGTAGCTCTAATAATGCTCATAATTGCACTAGTTATCAGTGAACAGTGCATACAGTTCCAAAACTAAACCAGTGTGTCGGGTGCACAGTTGTAATAAATGATAAAACATAAAACTTGTTTATCGAGGGCAACAAAAACGTGTTTCAGTTCTAAGCATACATTCTGAATCAGCAGAGAGGCTTGGCTCCTTATATGCCTGACACAATCGGGTTACAGTTTTTAAAAGTTACATAACCCAGTGGTTCTCAAACTTTTTTCATTAATGTACCCCCTCTGAAATATTTTATCAGCCAAGTACCCCCTGACCCATGCAAAAACGTTTTTGGGGTAAAAAAAAAAAAAAAAGAAGCTACTTTTGAATATAATGAAAAGAGGTACAAGTAGTTTTTTAAAAATCTGATTTATTAAGAAAAACACTTGAATGCTTATTTCACATGTTTAGAATCTGTCACCAAATTCATGGCAAACAATTTTTTTTTCATCTTGCAGTAACACTATTGTGGCATTGAATTTGCATTGAACTGCATCTACTTAAAATCTAGTGACAAACATCAGCTTCACTGAGGATCTTTGTAGCAGGGAGACAACTGCAGTGATGGTGATAGTGAGAGTTCACAGCGGTTAACGATTGCATTGAAAATAGGAATATGGAATATAAAATATGGCTAATCAAGCTTACATTTAATTTTTTTAAATTAATATTTTAAAACAAATGTCAAGTACCCACTGCAGTACTCCAATTGAGCTGGCCTTAACCATCACATCGCTAGTTAGTCTCATGTTAGTATAAATTTGCACCTGGCACAAAGCCTATATAAATGCATGTGCAAGTATTTCTATGTATTTTTCACAATTAACTCTTTAACCACTCACTGCCTGTTGGATGTTTAGTGAAACACAGAACACACACAGCTGTAAGGACTGTGTGCCAGAGGCAATATGCACCCAACTCTGTGAAAGTGTGTGCATTTTGACCAACTACACAATGACAGCCTCAGTTCATTGCACTACAGTTTAGTGACAAATCAACTACAACAAAACTCCTCTCCTCCCACCTGTGAATCATGCACAGGCACCAAAAAAAACCCTCACAGATGGTCAAAGCCAATCTCGAGGTCAGGAAAATACCAAGCGGTCAGAGTGCTGCTTGCACTGGTTGCCAAAAAAACAGGGCCCTTAGCCTTTCACAAAATTTCAGTAAAAAACAGTCTAGTGCACTATGCGTTTTGTTTTGAGCGTCCTGTAGCAACAGTGTGAAGGAGGAAGGTAGCTGACCTTCAGAACAGTGTTTTGGTGTCTGATAAGCATTTAAACTGGGATTCTGGATTCCATTTCACCTGTACCTGGAAAAGCTCTCTCCCACTGTCCCAGCCCCTTGCATTTTCTTTAACGCAGGGCTGTGATTGGCTGAACTCCAGGTCAGCGTGATCCTGCTGAATATGTCCCTGTGGCTGGGGTGGACTGGTTTCTAACTGTGGTCGACTTAGGGATGAACTCATGGTCAACATTCCTCCCTCTCCTTCACAGACACACACACACACACACACACACACACACACACACACACACACACTTAAACTGCTCTACATAAATTAAAGTTTGTAAATGTGTGTGCCTGGGCCTATGTGTTATGCATCAATGTGTATATTGAGCGCCTCAGTTCGCCATAATTACAAGTGCTGCCTGCCCATTCTCCTTTAGAAAGAGAAAAAGTGGTGCTAGAAACCCTGACTCAGCTTCACCATTATGTCCTCCATCGCAATTATCTGAAACATCTGCTCAGACACACACATAAACACACATACAGAGCAGACAAACAACAAACTGTACTTTTTTCAGTCTCTGATGAGCATGGGCATCTGTTTACACACTGCTCAGCTCTGTTGAATGGACTGCTTAGTAGAAACAGCGAAGCTTCAGACAGTACTGTCAGCAGATGAGCGTAGATCCACGTAGCAGATGTCTCTATGTTGTGTTTATTGCTATGTTTAAACGCTGAGCTCTTGAGCTGAGGTATGGTGTGTGTGTGTGTGTGTGTGCAGGTAAGCCCCAGTTCATCCACATGGGTGAGGAGGTGGATGGGGTGGATATGAGGGCAGAGGTGGGCCTGCTGAGTCGTAACATCCTGCTCCGTGGTGAGATGGAGCCCGGGTGCTATGGCAACGAGGCCTGCAATTTCTTCAACTTCGACACTTTTGGAGGACATTTGAAGGTACGCTGTTGTCCTTATACCTTGTCGTTTAAAGAACAGATAGCCAGGCGATTCACACATGAACCAGTTTACACCAGGGGTCATCGTATGCTGCCCGAGGAGTAGCACTGAGCAGTGACTTGTTGCAGACCTATCTGCAGTTTCTGTGCCAGTTGATTTGACCTTCACAATTCCTGTAATTCCTGACCTTGTTTTAGCTCACATAGGGAGGAAGTTTGTGTGCTATCACAAGAAAAGCTAAAACAGGTGCTCGGTTAGTTCAGTGGGTAGAGCTGGCGACCCATGTACCAAGGCTGAGTCCTTGCTGCAGTGGCCCAGGGTTTGAATCCAACCTGCAGCCCTTTGCTGCATGTCATCCCCTCTCTCTGTCTATCTTCAGCTGTCTTTATCATAAAGGCAATAAAAAGCCCCAAAAACTACTTTAAGAAAATCAAAAACAAAAACCCAGCTCAGTGTCCTGAGGAATTACATCCATCTCACAATTTAAGTCCAATGCCAATGTTCAGTGTCACTGCAGGAGGCAATGTGTCCTTTATTTAGTAAGGTGGAAAGTTAGAGTGTGGGGGACAGGGTGGTGGACGGGTGTGTAGTGCAAGTAGTTCAGTCTTTCCCTATTAAGTGTTTTAATTTTCATACCCTAACCAAACCTTAACTGTAGTTAATTTGCCCTAACCATGATCACCATACTGGAGTTGCTAAACATTGTAGAAAAAGCAAGAATAATTCAAAATGTAGTATATTATAGCTTAAGAAAATGGATGAATGGGTTATTTTGAAGATGGACTGTCTCAGCTTCCTCTGATCCACAACGGTCCAGTTCAATACACGGTTTTCCACCACTGTCATGGAATAAATTGCATGAATGCTGCTTTCTTAGCAGAGTTACATCCTTTTTTTTCACATGACCTTGATCATTCATAATGACGTTTAACGAGTAGAAATTCTATTTTATTAAGTTTGCTTAAGAGAGTCTACAGACACACCACCTCAACAACCTCTGAGTTCTTAGGTGCTTTGAACTAAATGAATGCTCATAATGACAATGTTAAGGCAGGTAGAGTTTGCTCTGTTCACCTTAATTTAGTGTGTAGTGTGTGTGACCAAATACAGTCCAGTTGAGGCTGATGGGAATGTCATTAGTGCCATAAAGTATTAGACAAGTTGAATTATATCTTATCGGCCTGTCAGAAGTAACTGCAGATGCAGATGTTTAATTTTAAAGCTTTAACTGCCAATACCAATGGTGTGCTGATATCATTGGGCATTCCTGCTTAGAAGTTAAATTAGAGCAGGTTAAGACACTTAACAATACAGCATGTATCAGGCTGTTGGTGTATCAACAGGAGGAAAAAAGACAGTGGACAGAGACACCGAGAGACAGGAAAGGACAGGAGAACAAAGGAGACAGAGAAAGAGGCTGTGGTTGTATTCCTGCTCCCTTCATGCCTCTCTCTCCCCAGGGCGAGCTATCATATCCTATTATAAATTTCCATCACAGGCTCATGTCACATATTTCTCATGCATGTTGTGTGTAGAAGAAAGGAAAGGGAAGCCTTTGTGAGATTTCAGTGAAGCCCTTCAAAATGAATGCCTCAGAGGACACTCCCCCGAAAGTAGTGCCATTACTGTTGTGTTAAAACCTTGTTTCGCCACCAGTATCAGCTGAGCAGCCTTTGTTTCAGCTTGTATTTTCAACGTCAGCAGGGGGTTGTAGCATCTTCTCAAAGGCTGTAATCTTTCAACTGGAGTTAACAATGAGAATCACCAAACGTGTTAGTAAGGAGGTTTTCTCAGGGTGTGGTACAACAGTGGCTCTGTTTAGTGGAACAAAGCTGCTTCCCATCATTGAGTCACTCTGCTCTCTAATGTCTTTTACTCACTAAGGAATCTTTGCCCATCTAGTCTTTTCTCTTATTCATCCTCCTCTCCTCTATTCTATATCTCCGTCTTTTTATCTTTGTTGTCCCTTATTCAATTCCCAACTTCCTGCTTGTTCCATCCTATGCCCATTCTTCCTCCCATCCTGCTTCCTTCCTTTCCCTCCTGATTCCTTCCTGTCTGCATCATATTTTCCTCCCTGACTTCCTCCACCTGTGGGATCTTTGTAGTCCTCCATCATTCCATTCTTCCGCCCACCTTTATCCTCAATACCTATTTTCCGTCATACTTCCTTCCTCGGTATCCTTAAATCCTGTCCTGCCCTTTATTCTTTGACTTTCTTCATCCGTGAATTAAACTCTCTCCATCCTGTCTTTGCCATCCTCCCTCCTTTCCTCGATCCATCCATTTTTCCTTACACCACCCTCCACACATCAATCCATACCTCCCTCTCATTCTTCCTTTTAGTCTTCCTCCCCAATTATTTATTTAGCTTACTCTTTCCCTTGTTTCTTCCCACCTCCACCCTTCGTCTTTCTTTCTGTCCTCTTACCCTTGGTCTGTTGCTTCTTCTTTATACCACTCCTTTCTTCATCAACCCTTTCTTTTCTTTTAGTTAGATATTTTTCATTCACAAAAACATATTGTTAGAATAGTCTTTATATCATTGCATTTCAGTACACCCATTAACTTTTATGCTGTGTCCAATGATTACAGCTGTTATCTGAGTGATGCAACGACCTGCTCTCCCTGCAGGAGTGAGTGTACTGTATCTGCTGTTATCATCAGGTGGAGCGGGGCTTCAGGGCAGTTCATATATCTGGGGTGGAGCTGCAGCACATGGGCCAGCAGACAATGGGACACTATCCGGTCCACTTTCATATGAACGGAGACGTGGACGAAAGGGGCGGCTACAACCCGCCCACCTCCGTCAGTGACCTATCCATCCACCACTCCTTCTCCCGCTGCGTAACCATCCATGGCTCCAATGGACTGCTGGTCAGTGAAGAAGTTTTACTAAAGTTTATTCTGTGCTTGATGTGTTTCAGAGGGACATTATAAATTGTTTTACATTTTTGGAAATACGCTTGCTTTCTTGCCAATGAGAAGACCTATATATATATATACATATATATATAACATATAACTATATATATTTATATATAGATATATAACTATGATGAGTCCAGGCCCCCAGGTTTCTCAGGTCATGTAACCTACACATGGCCCAAAAATACTTTTTCTTATACACATATATAACAAAAAAATCATGGCATTGTTTTTTTTTTTGTCAGACAAAATTCAGAAATGAGTCTTTGTATTATCACAGTTTGATCCATTAGGGCCAATATAAATTAAAAACCTCACAAAGAGCCATATCAGTTAATTAACATTTGTGTGTGTGTGTGGTAGAGTCAGCAAAAGTCAGCTGACTCAGCCCACGGCTATGCTCGTGCTCGATGGGCACAAAAACATGGAAGCAGAAAAGACTATTTTAGTGAGCAGCTTCAATCTAAATGTTTGGGGTGCAATCTTGGAACACAGTATTCACTTCTCTTTATACATTTATGATTGAGTCCATGCCCAGAAACTTCAAAAAGGTACAAAGAGATACTCTGAACTGCTGTTCGACACATTGGCACAGAGATAAAGAGGAACGCCCATGTTAAATAATAGTTCACAGTTGAGGAAAGACGAGGAATTAAGCTTCAGAAAGTTATATACATACTTCTACAGCTGATTGCAGTGAAATATCAATGAAACTGAACTTGTATTCCCTCCCAGGTAAAGGATGTTGTGGGCTATGACACTCTGGGCCACTGTTTCTTCACGGAGGATGGTCCAGAGGAGAGGAACACGTTTGACCATTGTTTGGGTCTGATGGTGCGAGCCGGGACCCTGCTGCCTTCAGACAGAGACAGCAAAATGTGCCGTGACATCACAGAAGGGGCTTACCCAGGATATGTGGCCAACCCACGCCAAGACTGCAGGTGAGACACATTCATAAACTGTATGCAGTCTTTAACCTCTTCAGTCCCAGGGAGGGTCTTCCATGGATCTGCCATCTGTAACTACAATTACTATTGTTTCATCTGCGAACTTCAGGAGACTCCAGCTTTGCCTTGTTGGTCCATCTGCTCGCAGTCTTGACCACAGGCTTAGTAGATTTTAGTTTCTGCCTGTATGTTGGGATAAGATGAACCAGACAGTGATCAGAGAGCTCCAAGGCTGCATGGGGAACAGAGTGATAGGCATCCTTTAGTGGGGTAGCAGTGGTCCAGTGTGTTAGTATCCCTGGTGGGACACTTAATATGCTGTCTGTATTTTGGAAGTTCATGTCTGAGGTTTGCTCTGTTAAAGTCCCTGAGAGCAATGAGTAGGGGGTCTGTATGTTTTTTCTCCAAGTTTGTTATCTGGTCAGCCAGGTGTTGTAATGCCTCACTAACACTGGCCTAAGGTAAAAACAAAAAAAATCAGAATAAACTCCCACGGTGAACAAGTTTGAAGTTTATGAATAAGGTGAGGACTACATGATTTCCTTAACACTGTGACTGTACACTAACCTTCGTTAGCGTAAAAGCAGATTCCGCTTCCCCTCTTTCCCCCCCCCGAGACCTCCGTTACACAGCCCGCTCTGAGGAGTTGGAATTCCGGCAGGAGAAGTCAGGTGTCTGGTATGTGCTCACCGAGCCATGTTTCCGTGAAGCACAGCAGATGAAGGGCGGCAGATCTGTAAAAGTTTTGTTTTGTTCATTTGTTAATTTGAGGAGCAGCAGTTCATCCACCTTGTAGAGAGCAGAAGGTATAAATGCAAATGTAGAATACTGACTCAAATATACACTCAAGAGCGGAAGTAAAGTTTCAAAAACAAACTTAGACGTCCTTGTTTCTTAAAAAACTACTTTTTTACCCATGTGCTTGTAACCAGTGATATCTGCTCTTGCTTGTACCTAACACAAACACAGTTCACCAATGATCTCTGGATGTGTTTGAAGTTTAATTTTTTTTGTGTTGCAGAGTTACTACATGACAAAGAGCACTGATTAATCTCAAGCTAGCTTTATCACTCATCTGTATATATCTTTCATTTAAAGTTCTAAAATAAATATATAAAGATACTACTAGTCTCAAACAAAACTCTATCGCAGGATAGCAGAGAAACTCTTTAAGGTGATATTTCTGCTGACCTCAGAGACAGATGCAGAGACAATGAAACAAATACGTGATTTCCACTTATTTCTTCAAGATACAAGAAAACAGATAATTAGCAGATGAAGAAGTACAAAAATCTTTTAACACTGTGAAAGGGCAGACTTGGCAAGTGATCATTAGTTAAAACTCTCCCTTTCTTGCTCACACATACACACACTCAGATACACACACTTTTGTTTGACTGTAGTTCTGTTTCGTTAGATTATGTGAGTATTGCTGCAGCACCTGCAATTATTTTTCATCAATCAAAAGACACTTTCAATTATCTGCCAACATTTTAAAGGTCAGAAAACAAGCTCACAATATCAGTGAAAAAACAAACAATAAAAATAATATTTTGTTCTTAATTTTATGCATGTGAATGTGTGATTCATAGTGCTAATATGTATTGAAATATCTGTTGGCAACTGTAAAAAAAAACACTGAGACACCAGCAAACGTGTGACCTCCACAACAACACAACCAGTGTGGAGAGTCTTAAACTGCTAGTTAGCGCATAATTTACACAGTTATGTGTCAATTTCAGTTTAGAACACATTAATAGGGACCTAAAAACTTGCAACCCTTCCTCAAGTCAAAACTCAGTTCAGAACACATACTCCTACAATCAGTGATATTTCTGATGTCCATCAAGGATACACATGATCAATCAGATTAGAAATCATAGAACCACTGCAGATAATGCATAATGATCATAAAGCTCATAATGATCAGAATCAGGCTATGGTCTCAAAAGTAATACAGTGATTTTTATCTATACATACACAGTTACAACGCAAACAGCAGCTGATCTTTCAACTGATTTTTCAAGAAATTAGTTGTGCAGTGCAGGATAACGCTTGACTGACATTGCACAGGTGTTACATGTTTTTCCCCTGACAGTGTTCCTTGTTGGGCTGCCGTTGAGAGATACTAACACAAAGAGCCCTATTTTAATCACTCAAGCACAACCAGTACAAAGCAACAGGTCTTAGCGTATAGCGCCAATTCATAACAGAAGTTATCTCAGGACACTTTTCAAATAGAGCAGGTCTAGACCGAACTCCTTATAACATAATTTACAGAGACCCAACAGTACCACCATGAGCAAGCACTTGGCGGCAAGGACAAGGAAAAACTGCCTGTTAAAAGGCAGAAACCTAGGACAGATCCTTCGGCTCTATGTGGGTGGTCGTCTGCCTCGACCAGTTGGGGTGAGAGAGAGAGAGAGAGAGAGAGAGAGAGAGAGAGAGAGAGAGAGAGAGAGGTAGGTGCACAGCAACAACAGTAGCAACAACTACACTAATAGTAGTGACTGAAGAAGATGATGACGACGACGACGACGACAACAACGATGGGGGACAATGAGCAGTGACAATAGTAATAATAGTAACTGTAGTAATAATAATATTAATAATAATAATAATAATAATATCAGTGATATTAGCAATGGCAGTCAAGCAGGACCATGGCAGGAGGCTCCACCAGGATCCATGAGAACCTGCGAGACGAGAAAGCACAAGAACTCCGGGGAAGAAGTGAAGTTAGTAACATGCATTAATGGAACATGAATGAGTGCAGAAAGAGAGAGAGAGGAAGGGAGGAGCTCAGTGCACCATGGGAAATCCCCCAATAGTCGTACGTTTCTGTGTACAAACTGAGAACGACCTGATAAGTATGACCTAAACCAGCTTAGTGCGGTTCCTTTCATGCCAATTTGATGCTCAAGTCTCTGTAAAAGAATATTATGGTCAATGGTGTCAAATGCAGCACTAAGATCTAATAATACAAGTACAGAGACAAGTCCATTGTCTGAAGCAATCAAAAGGTCATTATTAACTTTAACCAGAGCTGTCTCTGTGCTGTGATGAACTCTTAATCCTGACTGAAAATCCTCAAATAAGCTATTGTTATGTAGAAAGTCACACAACTGTTTGGCGACTACTTTCTCCAGAATCTTAAAGAGGAATGGGAGGTTAGAGATCGGTCTATAGTTGGCTAAAACCCCTGGGTCAAGAGTGGGCTTTTTAAGAAGGGGTTTAATTACAGCTACTTTAAAGGACTGTGGTACATATCCTGATAATAAAGAAAGATTAATCATATCCAGGAAAGAAGTGCCAATTAAGGGTACGACTTCTTTAAGCAGCCTAGTTGGGATCGGGTCTAACAGACAGGTTGATGGCTTTGTTGAAGAAATTATTGAAGTTAATTGATGAAGATCGATAGCAGAAAAACATTTTAGATATATATCTGATTTTACAATAGTTAAAGTTTCTGAACTTAGAGAGCCAGTGATAGCTGTTGATGGCAGTTTGTGATTAATTTTCTCTCTAATAGTAATAATTTTATTATAAAAGAAGCTCATGAAGTCATTGCTACTTAAGTTTATGGGGATATGTGGCTCAATAGAGCTGTGACTCTGTCAGCCTGGCTACAGTGCTGAAGAGGAACCTAGGGTTGTTCTTATTTTCTTCTATTAGTGCTGAATAATAGGCTCCTCTGGCATTACGGAGGGCCTTTCTATAGGTTTTAAGATTATCTTGCCAAATTGAGCGATATTCTAATAATTTCGAAGAGCGCCATTTCCTTTCAGATTTCCTAGCTTTTTGCTTTAATTGGCGGGTTTGGTGGTTGTACCACGGTGCTAGCCTCCTGTGTTTTAATAATTTCCTTTTTATAGGGGTGATAGAATCTAATGTGGATCGTAGTGAGCCTGCAGCACTATTAACAAGATTATCAATTTGGGAGGGACTAAAGTTATTATAGGACTCTGTTAAATTTAGACATGGCATTGAAATAAACACTGAAAGAATCTCCTCCTTAAATTTAGCTACAGCACTGTCAGATCTGCTGTAGGAAGTTTTGCCTAATGGCTTATAATCTAATAGTATGAATTCAAAAGTTATTAAATAATGGTCAGATAGAAAAGGATTTTGTGGGAAGACTATTAAATGTTCAATATCAATGCCATATGATAGAATGAGGTCAAGAGTGTGATTAAAACAACAAGTTTTAGTCATTTTAAGTTACAAACAGTGCTTTGACGTAGTGAGGACGGGTCAAACTGTCCTCACAATGCAAAACTGTCCTCACTACGACAGTTTAAAACTCAAATTGGTCCTCATAAAGAGAGCAATACAAGCCAACCTGCACACAAACATTTATCAGTAGATAGCCTGTTTTCCTCCCTGCACCTTCACTTTGTTATAGCAGCATTATATTTAAAGCATAAAGATGCAGCTCAGAATATAAAGCAGTTTAATCCAGGTCACATGACTTTTTTATCTCACCCCGCTGCCGCTGCCTTCAGCTGCAGAGTATAAAGGCCAAGGTTAGGGATGCATAATGGCACCGGCTTACAGAGCCTTCCACCTTCTCTCCAACATGAGTGCGCTGGGAGGATTTTCTGTTTCTAACGTTATCTAAGCTTCTGCTCCTTCCCTTTCATTACTCTTTTCCTTTCCTCTGTCCTTTCCTAATTTATCCAATTATAACAGGCTTCTAGTACACAATGCACCATGCTCCTAATGAGGCTTTTTGTCCAATTTGTCTGGATCAATGTATTCTGTAATGATTTCCAAATCCCAGTGTATTTATTACTGCGGTTCAAAAATTCCAATTTAATCAAACATGATTGCACTAACAGCATTCCCCACTGTAAGATTTATGATGATTAATTTCTAGTCAGCTTTTTAACGCTCCCTCGTGGCTCCTTCTGTCTCTTCCCCTGTCATTGTTGAGTTGTGTATGTGCTGAATTTAAATGCTCAGATGAGAACAATAAATTGCAGTCAGATTTGCCAGGAACAGGGACATGTGGGCTGCATGAGGAGGATGAGACTGTCATTTAAACTGAGCCAGATGAATGTGCTGGGCCTAAATGCATGTGTGTGTGTATGTGTGTGTGTGTATGTATGTGTGTGTGTGTGTGTGTGTGTGTGTGTGTGTGTGTGTGTGTGTGTGTGTGTGTGTGCATGCTTTAGCATGCATTTGACAAAACAAATTATCCAGCCAAGCCATCACCTTAAGAGGAAATGGCAAGACACAGTTGGTTGTGTTTTTAAGCTTCAGTTCCTTCAGCAGAGAACGGTTTCCATTCACACACACACAAGTTTTCCTTGTAACGCGTTTTTACAAAAGATCCCTCATCAGCAGTCAGAATATCGGACAAAATTTTAGCTAACTGCAAACATCAATGGGTGTGTTTGCTTGCATGTACTTGTGTTGTAATGGCTATTGAAACTAGTCCAGCTTTGATATGAGCAGTGATACAGCAGCATTTTAATTTCACTCAAACAAGTGTGTAACATACAGTAAAAGATCATCTCATCCTTTCTTATCTTTCCACATCAGCTTGTTGTTAGCTACTATCTCCCCCTGCTGGTTTTTATCGCTGTGCACACCTAGAGCCGGGGTCTGTCCGAGGTTTCTGCCTCTTAAAAGGACGTTTTTTCTTTCCGTCTTCGCCAAGTGCTTGCTCATGGTGGGAACTGTTGGGTCTCTGTAAATAATGCTATAAGGAGTTCGATCTAAACCTGCTCTATTTGAAAAGTGGCCTAAGATAACTTCTGTTATGAATTGGCGCTATACAAATAAAACTGAATTGAACTGAATTGCTCTGATTTCATCATTGCAGAGAAGTTTAAGTACCCAACACAGCAGGTGGTGTTCCTAGATGCTCCCAGATTGTGAGGTACTTGACAACCTGTGGATGAGACTAAATTAACTTTTTTTCTCCAGAATGACTGACCCCACCCTTAAGGTATTCAGCCTCCACTCTGAATTTAGGATATTGAAAAGATTGTCCCATTGCCAAGAGCAGAGGATGTTCTGAACAAACCAATCCTGTTACCAGACACGGACAGCGATATTGGATAAATCTTATGATCGATGATGACGTTTTAGCCATGCTCGCTGTAAGGATGGTTATGTCTACAAGATAGATTGTCACAGAATTTTATACAGGCCTTCATGGTCCCCTTAGGATGAATTCTAATGTCTTTAGTGTTCTCCTGTCTTTCTTCTCTAGTGCCAACATGAGGTTGACAAGAGTGAACTGTCTTGATTTCTGGATGGATTGCCATGAAATTTGCTTTGAAATATTCAAGGCCCCTAGAGGACAAACTCTGATGACTTTGGTGACCATCTGTCTTTTCCTCTAGCACCACCAGCAGGTCAAACATTTCAATCATCTCATTCAGTGATACATCTCTATATCTACTTGATGGAGTAGCACAATTTTTTACAAACAATCATGGTTCCCAGATGATGTATCCTAATGACTTTGGTGGTTCCTGGCATCTCTTTAAGCACCACCATGTAGTCAACTTTTTTGTTTTTTGCTAAAATGTCTCAACAAATATTGAATGCATTACTAGGAAATTTGTCGCAACATTAATAGTCCCCAGAGAACTGCAATCAGTTTGATCCCCTAAATTTCCATCTGGTGCCATCAGCTAAAAATATCAGTTCAGCCAGGACCATTTTTGTCAAAATAACTTTTATTCCAAAGCAGAATGTTACATTTGGCGGTATGGCTCTGTTCTGGGAGGTGTGCTCAACAACAACACAGACAAGTAGAGCGGCAGCAGAGACCCCCCAGGGTACAGAACAGAGCAAGCATTAATGGCAATCAGAAAATGACATTGATTAATTAGATACAACATAAAAGGAGGAGCTGGGGTGGAGGTGGGTGCAAAAAGGCTTGTAGAGGAAACAGCAAAGATAGGCAGGCTAAAGCAGCTTAAATAAGGCGCCATGAATGATATTTTCCAATTGGCAGTCAGCTGACTGTGTATGGTTTCCAATAGGAAGCTTAGGAGGAATCAGCTGAGCCATCAGCTGATGTGCGTTTACAACTATCTGTGATCAGCTGATGTAGCTGGAATTTAGAGCTGAGCTTGACTTTGTGGCCTGCCTGAACTAACGCCATGCTTAATTTGTCCAGTACTGGCTTATTATCAAATACTAATGACATTCCTATTCACTAGCTAATGCTAACAGGCTAAGCTAAAAATGATGAACATGGTTAACATTATACACTTTCTTTTACATAGAAACATTGTAAATATTGTATGGCATATCGATTATGGAAAAAAAATGTAGGTAGACTGACTTAGACAGACATGCTACACATCCACTCCGACCTCCACAACTTTATTTTGCACTTCTCTACATGGGACACACTTTATCCCTGCCGTATCAGTGTGGTCAGTGTCCTGTGCTCCAGTCAAGCAACCCAGTGTCTTTGCTGTTGTATACTTTTTAATGACAAGCAAATTTTATGAGAAAAGTTATTGACCCTGATTTTTTATCTTTATTGAACATTAAGTCAAATTCTGGCAGTTTGTCTTAAAAATAAAATGTACCTCCATGTTCCCACAACTTGCAACAGCAGTGCCAGAGTTAGGATGGGTTTAGGAAAGAGGTAGAGGGAAACAAAGACCCAGAGAAAAGCAAATAAAGTAGAGAGGAAAAAGTGGAGAAAGGAGAGGTTTGAGGTGCAGTGCTGCCATGTGGTAAGCTGCTGTGGAGCTGAACTGCATATCTGCCATTTCTATTCATATTTATTACCATAAGCTGCTTTTTCTCACACACCTGCAAATGGAACTATAATGATTTTCTCATTATGCCTGGTGCATGTGTGAAAGGTGCTTTCTGCACACAAAAAGAAACCCAGAGGAATTTACATATTTATTAAAAATATATATATTTAAGAGAGATGTCTGCACTGTTATGTAAGTCTAAAAGAAGCTTACAATAATGGATGCATTTATTTAAAAATCTAGCAATCTAAGAGGGAGAAATAATGAACAAAAGGCTAAGAGAGAAAACTGATAATACATGTAGTGGGGACAGTATCAAACTGTCTACATGAGAGACATCCTCCAGACATAAACATACAAAGTATCAGTGTCACTGTTTCTGTGCACACTGCAAGCATTATGGAAGTATGTGACTCCTGTACGGTCTACACAAACCTATAGAAGCCTGAGTTGCTGCAGGCCTGGATCCTCTCTGACAGCCAGCAGTCAAAATATTGTGTAATGTAAGTCTGCAGCTTTTGTGAGCTGTGAGTTGTGACGATGAAGCATGCAGGTATGGGTGGAGTGGGATAAAGCCCAGTGACAGCTATAGGGGCACTAAACTGATCCATGTCATGTTTAGTGTCTTTGTGTTTTTGCATGAGTCTCTCTTCCGCCTGATGGTATCTATCCATGCAGATCATTTTGGTTTCAGTTGTCCAGGTTTGGAGATATGTGTCTGAGATTTCAGACTCTCACCTGTATATATTAGAGATGAAAGGCATTCATTAGTCACATTCACCCATATTCATACACTGATTCCTCACGTGCCAATGACACAGCATCGGAAGCAATTTTGGGATTCAGTCTCCTGCTTGTGGACACTTAAACATGTTTTTTAAGATAGGAGCGGAATATTTTCCGCTCCTAGGATATGTTTGATTTGAAAAAGAATGTATTCTAATTATTCTAATTATCTCTTATTCCCCTCCTGCTTCATTCATTTATCTGCAGGATTTCGGGTTTTTTTTAAGACTCACTCTGCATAGAATGTTTTGAGTGCGAAGCACCTTGCAGTGTTTCCTTCTTCCTTTCGGCGGCCGTGTTTCATTCTGCCTTCCAGAGTTGCCATTCAGAACAGCTAGCCTAGGACCAACATGGTAGAATGACATATGGTGTGAACTAGTTCTGTTCGAGCATGACAGGACCCTTTACCTGCACAGTGTTGCACTTGAGTATTTGGTGAAAAAGCAGAGTAATGGGGCATAGTGAAAAAAATATTTTTCAAATTCCATTCACCTCCAGTGACTTGGGTTGGAGGCAAAAATGTTAGAGACAGATATTTAACAACCAAAACTAACTGCATACAACTAGCGGGTAAACTGACTCTTTACATGAACAAAAGTCAGTCAGCTTTTTTTTTAAACCTGGATTTCTCCCATGTTTTTGTGTCAAAATGACTAATGGGGACAAATTCAGTCCAGTATTGAGTGACAGCATTGCAGCTGGCAATGCAAAACAGGCTACAATGTAATCTTTATGGGCAATCACAAACCGTCAAAGTACGTCAATTAAAAGTGCTAGTTTTTGCTACTGGCTGGCTGAGACTGCTTTGTGGCCACAGGCTGCAGCACTCTCTTCCAACACTGGGCCAAATACAAAACTTGTTGTTTCCATTAGTCACCTTGACACAAAAACATGAGAATATAAGGTTGAAAAATACCAACCCATTAAGAACAGTCTGTGGTTTTATTTTTAATTGTAACTTTTCTTTCTTGTAGGATTTTTTTATAGCTGTCAAATTTGTTTGGTTAAATAAGAGCACAATAAATGAATCCAATTAGGCACAGTAAAGCTGTCCTACAAACACATTTTGTCAGCATTTTCCTCTGAATCATTATAACCTGAACTATTGTCCCTGGTGGAAACTGAATTAGTCAAAGAAATGTACTTTCCCCTCCCTTAAGCCAAATTCATGTTACAGTGTCGGCAGTAACATCAGTTACTTTACAGAGACTTCCATGTAAATGATTCTCTGGTGCCTGGAAGCGTACCAGCATGTCTGAAGGTTTCCAGCTTGTTTGACCTCTACTCTGCTAAACTTTCTGTCTCTGCTACATCATTATTGTTACATTCATCACTTTCTGTCTGAGGAAGAAGAACGAGTTTGTTAATCCCCTTGGGGAAATTCAATTTTCGATCCGTTGTTATTTACACACACACACACACACACACAAACACAGACTCGGTGTGTTGACTTTCTTCTGGGGACATTACATAGACTTAACGTGTTCAGAGGATCAGTCACTTCCACAGTTTCTATTCAGTGTCCATGTGAGCAGTCGTGCAATGCATTCTCAAAGTGCTGTTATGTCGGCTGCTAATTTTTTGCATAAAGTAGAGGTCCAGGCTACTTCATTCAAATCAGGGACATCTGGTAGTGCTACTCACTGCCTCTGGAAACTAACGAAAAGCATTTTAAACTAATCATTCAGATTCAGCAACTGCATGGCTTAAAATGTGTTCAGAAACACGTTTCAGTGAGAGAAAATATCCAAACGAGACGCCGTGTTGGTTCAGAACATCAAGTATTTGTCCAGTCAGGTGCAGCCAGAAGTGTTTACACGGTTGTGTGGGTTTGTGACTACGAGTGTCCAACCCTTCGCATCCAAAAATGTAGCTTTGGACAGGTAACATAACATTTATTTCCTGGAGACTTACCCTAACCATAACCAGTGCTTGCATAACGCTAACCCCAAGCAAGAGCACCTCGGCAACTCAGGAGGTTAACTGGCACCTCTTGCCAAGCCATTCCCAAGCCAAGTCCCAACAGACCTATGCTGGAAAGCGTCATGACCCCTCGTGTCCAGTAACACCACTGTGGACCATCACATTTATTACCCAGAGACTTACCCCAACCATAACCAGTACTTGTATAATCCTAACCCTAACCTTGGCCCGGGACGTCAGGATGCTACAGACTTAGCTACTGCTTATAAGCTTCCATATCATCTGTACATCATCACTGTCAACTTCTTCTTCTAAAAAGAGAGAAGACAGCTGAGATTCTGTCTGCCCCCTCCTTTCCGTCTGCATTGGACCTTCCTCCCTCTCATCCTCTCAGACAGGAAAACACATCAAGGAGCCTGGGGGTGACTGAACCTTGATTGGGGCTGGCTGAGACCTTGATTACACCAGAGCTAATTCTTTTCTCATCCAAACTGAGCTGCTGCAGGGGGTGATGAGCGTATTTCCTTGTTAATGCTGAATAATTGAGAATAGAGGTTAACAGATAGGTCAAGATGAGGGATGTAGCAGAGAGTAAACCCACTTTGCCACAATTTGTTTGAAAATGAGTTTTTTACCCTTCTAGGCTGAAATAATAATATTATTGTAGTGGAAATTTGAGTCAGGTCAGCCAGTCTAGCTATTTATTATATCTAGTCAAAGGAGTTTTTGTTCAGCTGAACACAGGACTTTTATTGGACTATCATAGGACTATTATTTCTATTATTTCCTCATGTATAACCTTGTAGGATGACCACATGCCCTTCTAAAAGTGTCTTCTCTTCAGAGGTACACACCTTCTTTCTCATTCTTTCATTCATTCATTCTAAATTAGAAGTAATGATTGAACTTCTGAAATGTACTCAAAGTATAAAAGTAAAAAGTACTCTCTTGGTGTCTCTGAAGGACATTTCTACCGGCTGTTTCTGTGCAAAGCTGAAACTTCAAACAGGGTCGAATCTCCTCTTATCTGTTTCATCTTGTTACATCTTTCATGGTGTTTTGGTCATGTTATGTCTATCATATCATATCAAAACAATGCATATTTCTTTTTCTTTGTAAAAGTGAAACTGAAGTCATTTTTTAATCTCAGCGGTTTCGTTCTTCACACATTTGTATCGCGATTTAATTATCTCATGATATATCTTTACATTCCTAAACAGTACATTTCTCTGCTGTGCTCACACTTTCTTTATTTACTACTACATCAGTGGCTCAAACTGTTTGTGTGAAATAACCAAACTCTTTTCTCTTGTTCCTTCCCAACACTCTCCCTCTCTTTATAGCGCAACTTCAACTTTCTGGATCGCCAACCCCAATAACAACCTCATCAACTGTGCTGCTGCAGGCTCAGAGGTGAGTTTCTCACTCCCGCTTCTCACTTTCTCTTACCTCACCTCCCCTACCCCCTCACCCCCCACACACCTCGGTCTCTCTGCAGGTGGCGGTCTGTCTCATTACCACGTTGCCAGGTCAGATTAATGACTGTGTACTCCTATTAACTTCAGAATCAAGTAGACAACTGACAGAGGCACTGCCACACTTTCTCTATGATAGAGTGCCAATTAAGATCATACTTCTGGGATTTCACAAGGATACGTCGGGTGGAATAGAGTCTCATTTATCCTCACTGATGTAATAACCATGCTCATTTGCATGCCTGCGAAGAACAACACAGAAACAGACAGGCTGACATGCAGGGTGGCAAAGCCGAGGCTGTAGTTTTGTGTGTGGGTGTATGAACAATAAACTCTCAGCATGAAACTACACATGTCCACGGGGTTCTGTCTTGTTCTACATTAATAGTAATTAAAAAACACGTCTTGACAGCTTCTTTTTATGTTGTGGTTTTATGTTTGTGTGTGATCAGGAAACCGGTTTCTGGTTCATCTTCCACCATGTGCCCACTGGCCCCTCGGAGGGGCTTTATTCTCCAGGACGCACTGAACACACACCTATGGGCCAATTCACCAACAACAGAGCCCATTCCAACTACAGGGTGAGTGTGAGGACGAGGGGATGCACAATGTTCTGATTGTGGTGTCACACTCTGTTCCTGTTCCTGAGTGAGGGTAGTTCAGCCAGCCTAATACCTAGTACCTAATTACAACTACTGAAATTAGGTCCTTTTTTTGGGTAGTATTTTTTCAAGAACATGTCAACCAGTTGGGCTGTTTTGAATGGCTGCTATTGATAATGCATCAAACGTCAACAGTTATAAGGTAACTAATAAGGTTATAAGGTAATACTAATACTCTAGTCTACTAGTTTTTGTACTTTTGCTAAAGTATTTTTTAACACCACCAGTTTTACCTGTAGTTAAGTAACATTTCAGTAATGTAACAGTACTTCTACTTGAGTACATATTTTCAGTAATCTTTCCACCACTGTATGTAGTAATACCAGTTAACAAGACACCTCCACAAGAGATAGTGTATGACTAACTATCAAAATATCAACATCAGTTTACTAGCTATGGTTGATGTCACAGTGATGTCATCAGGGTTATCTCGGTTCAGGCTAGGAGAGTACAAATTAATACCAGGGAGTGTGCGCTACAAACTAGAGGTGTGGCATTTGAAAGATGTGATCATTTACCAGGGAAGGAGGTTCAAATGGAGGACATTAGAGAGTCCCATTATGGATGTATGATCCAGGGTTTTGGTAGATTGACCACTGACAGAATATAATTAGTGGACAGAGATTTGGGGTCTGTGAAGTGAAGTCAATGCAGAAGTGTCTCAAACCTGAGACGTTAAAATCCTTTCAGAAACATATTTTTTAGTGTACTGTTTATCTGGAATATGAGAACCTGTGTGACCAGATGAGCTGCCATTGTTTCCTGAAAGCAGCTCAACTCACAGTACTTCACCTCCACTGGCTCCAAAAAAACAATATGGTGACGACCATAACACAAAACTCAAGGCTTCAAAATGGTACTCCACAAACCAATGGGTGAGATCACAATAAGTTCACCCTTGAGCTTGACCGATACTAGGGACTAAAGTTCAGAATGTCCCTGCTGCTTTGATTTTGACTATAATCTGTCTCTTGTGAGACTCTCAACTTCATGGAAGTGCAATCCTAAATCGCTGGCCACCCCTTGAAATTAGAGAATTTTCATGATAAAATTTTAAAAACCCTCAAAATGTTCAGCTTTGATTCAGTCCTGAGTAGAAAGGCCTCAGACTAAAAATAATTGTCCTGAAGTGACCCAGATGACTTTTTCCATAACTAGAAGTCAGTACATCACACTGACCTACGAATTGACATTCCTAATGTATTTGTATTGTTTTTAAAAAGGCCTTACAGGAACTGAAAACCAGAAGCTAACACCACATATTGATACGTTTGGAACCCATTCCACTTTCCACTTTTTTTAAGAATTTTGTAATTAATCAGCATTTATTCTGACTATTAAAACCACTACATCAATAAGAGCTCCTGGACACAAAAGCAAGACTATATTGTCACATGCGACCTGCTAAGCAACAAAGAGAAGAGGAGCAATAGGTGAATAGTAAGAATAACAAAATTGAGGCCAGACACCAGAAACAGAGGAAAGTGAGCCAAAGGAGAGAGGGATGAGATGGAGAGGACAGGAGGGAGTTTGGAGGCGCCTGCGGCATCAAGCACAGCTCGAGCAGAGAGAGATTTATGAGGCGCTGGTGGAGAGGAAGTGTTATTGTTATCTCCCTCCCTTTTTTGCCCCCAACAGTGATCTCTTTTCTCTCCCATCTCACTCCATCCTTCCCTTCTTCACTTTTAATTTGGATCATTCTAATGGGAGCATAACTCATGTCAGGCTGCCACCCCGGGATGTTTGTGAGAGAAGAGGTTGTGGCAGGGCAGCAGGTTGGGCGTTCAGAGCAGCAACACAGTGTCTTTGTTTTGAAGCAGCGAACTGACAGAAGATGGCTTTTATCATTATGACTATTTTTATTTTATGCAAGGAAGAGCTATAGTATTAAGAACTGTAAAACAATTGGGGGTAGCTTGTTTGTTAGCTCCGGTACTCTGATGGAAGTTGCATGGAATGTTACCAGCCTAGTTGTGGGATTTAAAGCTCCATTAAAGTGAGATTTTACATTTATACTTGATTTAAAGGTCCATTGTGTAACATTTAGGAGGATCTATTGGCAGAAATAGAGTATAATATTCAGAGGTATGTTTTCATTAGTGTATGATCACCCAAAAAATAAGACTGTGATTGTGTTTTTGTTACCTTAGAGTGAGCTGTTTTTATTTACAAAGGCCACAGATCGCCTTCCATGGAGTCCACCATGTTTCTACAGTAGCCACTAGCACTAGATAGGGCCATTCAGGTTTTTTGTGCGAGAAGAGTAGCTATTAATGCCCAAAATATGATGTAGGAGTTAGTAGAATCCAGGACTGGTGTAAAACTGGTGAAAGTAAACAGAGCGTTTTTAAATGTAACTTGTAACCCTCCACACATATAGTTAATACTAGGCTAACTCTTGGCATTGGAGATAGTGGTAGGTTACTAATGTAGCCTGGTATGCTAATGTTTAATCTGTAATTGTATTTTTGGCTTTGGAAAAGCAAAGACACCACACTCCAAAGGCTTTAAATGTGAATATTGCTGTTAATGGAGCAGCTGTCAGTGTTAACTAACATCTTAGCCATAAGAGCTTTGTGAATCTATGATATAGCAGGTCTGTGTTGCAGGCAGTTTATTTGGAGTCTGTCTGCCCTCTTGTTGTCAAAATCCTTTAAACTATCACACACAAGCCTGGTTATTTGAAGTTACAACTCCCTTCATGACATTATAAAACAAATTCACATTTTCAGATGACAGCTACACTCATATTTTAGTGCATGCAGAGCGAGAAGTGAGCAGGTCAAGGTTAATAGGCAGCTTTATTAAATCCACCACAAACACTGTCAGGGCCACAATATTTAGCAGGATATTCACCAAGACTGATGATTTAAGTCATCTGCAGCTGATTTAATCTAAATGCACTGCTGCTCATTAAGACCTGAAGGACATGTGTGTGCAACATGTGTCTGAGTAGAAAAAGTCCTCTGCTACCGAGCCTGATTTATTGGTTGAAGAAGCCAGTAAACATGTTTCTCAACTACACTCAAGCACTCTGCACGAATTGCGGAAATAACAATAAACTGATGGTTTCAGCTCAACTGAAAGGTGAGCTTTTGAATAAAATGCTAATAACTGGAGTGCAGCTTTGGTTGGAGTGTTTTCATATTCCTTTCACATTAAAAATAGAGACAGGATTGTGTGGCAGCGCAGTAGAAAATATGAACAAACAAAGTCTGACCTGTGTAAATCAACCCCTGAGTGAACTCCTTTCTAACACCGGTTTATTCTTTATCATTTCTGCTCTGTCTTTTATTCTGCTGTGTTTTATACTGACTGTACTTGATGTTCTTTCCATTCCAGGCTGGAATGATTCTCGATCACGGAGTGAAGACCACCAAGGCAAACGACAAGGACAAGAGACCCTTCCTGTCTCTGGTTGGAGCCAGGTCAGACTTTGTAAATGTCTTCACCCTGTAACAAACAAACACCCTGTATGACAAGCTGAAGTCACATCACACCCAGTGTAATTCAGTATGATGGATCTGCATTCTGTAATGGTCCTGTTTCCTGTTTCCTGTTGATGTTCTGTAGCAGACAAACTGGAGTTTGGTATAATCTAGAGCCACAGTAGGAGGGTCACTTTAAATCTTCCTCTAGTGGAAGTGAGATTACTTGCATTGACATCAAGTAGAAGTGCAAAAGTCTATATAACAGTCTCATGTGGTCAGTGTGAGAGGACCAATGTGTCATCCTGACCTCACCACTTCAACATGAATACACCCTGCACACCACTCCCTCTTCAGCTCACTGATGCTCTTCAAGGTGTGGACGTCTTGTCTTTCTCAGAAAACTTTCTCACAGATTGCCTCGCCTGAAAAAAAGGTCAGAGGCCCCTTGTGTTTGAAAGTGGTGGCATATCAATTTATTTAATTTAATTTGGCATATTAAGTTATAATCATATTAAACCCCATTTATGATACTAGCATATAGTAACAATTCAATAGGACGTTTAGTGTATTTGGATTACTGCCTCTCTGCACATTATTTTTAATTGTTCCCAACAGAGTCCACCAAACTCATGCTGGGGCTGTAGTAAAGACCACTTAAATATATAAAATCAATACAGTATATTGATTTATCAATGCAATAGTGCAATAGTCTTTATACTGTTGTTCATGTTGAGAGTACAGTTTGATCTAACCTATACTGTACATACTGAACGGACTTTAAAGGGGTACTCCACCATAAAATGGGTGTTTTGAGTTGTAAACTGAATTTGTGACTATACTGTGATGAAACACTGGTTTGCTGGTTTTAAAACTGACGTTCTTACCAATTTTTTGAAATTCTTCATTTTGTGGGTAAAAATGGCCCTCTACTGTTTTAAATCACCCTGGACCCTGTAAGCCTAATGCTGAGATAGTGTCAACTATTTGGGGCGACTCTACGTCATGACGATTTATATTTTCAAAAACAGTGTTAACAGCCTCTACTCAGAGGAGGGCAGCCCACCTCCCCCAGCCTTCGCTTTGAGTGGGAGTCTGTGAAACCGCTGTGCTCACTGATCGAGACTGACCATTCACAAGAGTTTAGGCCACTCGGTTGAGCTACAAAGATTCATTCAGAGTCAGCAGGCTTAATCAGTAATTATTATGTATTTGGACTGAGCAAATTCATTTTTTTTTTTTTAAACACATTTTATTGTTTTTAAGCAGAGATAATACATAACAGAGACAAACCCCCCACCCCGACCCATTAGACAGCACGTTATACAAAAAAAAATACAATAAAAATATTAGTGATAATGACATATGATGAAAAAGTACAGTACTAGTTTGTCTCCAGTCCGCAGTATGTAATCATGAGTTGAGGGTAACCAGTCATCGGCAGCCTATCTGTGTCCCTCAATTTGAGGGAGGCGAGGGGAGGTCTTATTCCAATCAGAAAACTGTCTGCCCCTTAATATAAGATTTTTCAGATCTGCAGGTATATAATCTAGGAAGGGCGTCCATATTTTTAAAAATAACTCATCCTTACCCTTTACGACAGCTTGTAGCCTTTCATGAGGGAGGATATTAAAAACCTCCCTGTACCAAAGGGTGACACTAGGTGGAAAAACTTTGATCCAGTTTTTCAGTATACATTTTCGAGCGACTAGAAGGAGTTTTTCAAAGAGCTTACAATGTGATGCAGTGAGATGCAAGTCCCTAGACGGAAGGCCTAGGAGGAAGACCCCAGGGTCTTTCTCGATTTTTACTTTAAATATCCCACTGACTACTTTTGAAATAAGTGTCCAAAATCTGGAAATCAGTTTACATTCCCAGAAGTAATGGAAATACGTCCCCCTTTCTAAGTTGCATTTGTTACACAGAGGGGAAATGGAGTGGTCAATTTTGTTTAAAATAACAGGAGTAATATGCAGCCTGTGAAGTATCTTGTACTGAGTTTCTCTCAACCGGTTACAAGTAGATGTGGATCTGATAAGGCGTATCGTTGCGTGCCAATCATCCTCAATATATTCATTGTTCAAGTCTTTTTCCCATTTATGAGAGATGTCTGGTATATGGTATGAGACAGAAGAACCAAGAAGTGAGTAAAATGATGCTATAAAATGTTTTCTGTTTTTGCGCTCTAGAAGAAATCTCTCAGCATCACTGTAAGAGATGTTAGTAGAGAATGAGGTGGTCTGTAAAGACATAAAGTGCCTAATTTGTAAATACCCAAAAAAATGGTGCTTGGGAATACTGAATGTCTCCTGTAACTGCTGGAAGGACAGTAAGGTATTATCTCTCAATAAGTCGCCAATTACATGAATTCCTTTGTCTCTCCAAGAGAGGAACGTGGGGGAGCTGACACCTGCAGGAAAATCAGGATTTTGAGTTATGGGAGACAATAAAGACTTCACAGTTTTCTTTCCCAGGTGTTTAGATATATCATGCCATATCCTGATACTGTTATAAATGATAAGATTGCCTTTTACTTCTGGGTTTATCTTTTTTGCCTCACATGTGATTAAGCTCCACGGAGAGTAAGGGTGGCAAGCCCAGGAATCAATACAGGTCTCTCTCTTAGCATAAGAATGTAACCAAAGCCAGAAGTGGCGTGCATGACAGGCCCAGTTATAATACAATATGTTAGGCATAGAAAGGCCACCCATGTCTGTAGGTGATTGTAATATCTTAAGCCTCTGCCTAGGTTTTTTGCCTTGCCAAATAAATTTGGAAAATGCCTTCTCTAAGTCTAGGTTGATTTTCCTTGATAGATATAAGGGAAGCATTTGCAAAGGATATAAGAGTCGAGGGAGCACATTCATCTTAATGAGGCTGATTCGACCAAACAGGGAAAGGGGTAGGTTCTGCCATCGCTCCAGGTCTCTCTTAACTGAAGTACAGATTGGGGCCAAATTTAATTTTTGCAGATCCCTCAAGTCTGGGGACACTTTTATCCCCAAATAAGTAAAGCCAGATCTCGACCATCTGAAAGGGAAGTTCTCCGGAGCCTCTGTAGTACTCAGGGCGCCCAGTGGCATAGCTTCAGATTTACAAAAATTTATTTTGTAGCCAGAGATGTTACTGAACTTATTAAAAATATTCATAATTGCAGAAATTGATAGCTGAGGGGAGGACAGAAACACAAGGATATCATCCGCGTACAAGGCAATTTTGTGTTCCTTATGTCCTATTGTTATTCCCTTTATGTCGTTATGTAGTCGAATAGTTTCGGCTAATGGCTCTAATGCTAAGGCAAAGAGGAGCGGACTGAGAGGGCACCCCTGGCGGACACCTCTTGCTATTGGGAAGGGTTCAGAACGTCGCCCGTTAGTTATGACAACAGCTGTAGGCGAGTGATATATGGTTTGGATCCATTTAAGGAAGTCCCCCCCCAATCCAAATCTCCCCAGAACATCAAACAGATAGCCCCACTCAACCCTATCGAAGGCCTTTTCTGCATCCAGAGAGACGGCTAGTGCCTTCTGCTTGTATTGTGAAGTAAACTGTATAATATTCAAGAGCTTTCTCACATTGCTGGTTGAATAGCGTCCATGAACAAAGCCTGTCTGATCTGGATTTATAAGTGTGGGGAGTAATGTCTCCAGGCGTCTGGCCAAGAGTTTTGACAGCAATTTGCTGTCTACAGAAATTAAACTGATCGGTCTATAGGAGCCACACATGTCAGAAGGCTTATCCCTCTTCAGAATAACTGAGATATTAGCGATGCCCAATGTAGGGGGGAGGCAACCCCTAGTAAAGGAGTCTAAATACATGTCTGTAAGGGGACCGACTATTTCCTGACTGAATGTTTTATAAAATTCAGGGCCGAAACCGTCTGGTCCTGGGGCTTTACCTCCCTTAAGAGTGCGTATGGCTTGTAAGACTTCTTCTTTACTGATTGGCTTGCATAAATCTGCTTTCTGTACGTCTGAGAGAGATGGTAATTTTATCTTATTAAGAAACGCTGCTCTAGTCTTAGAAGAAGATGTGCATTCGGAACTATAGAGGCCTTTATAAAACAGTTTCATTACTTCATTTATATCAGATGATTTGAGGCGCCTCACTCCATTTCTATCTATGAGAGAAGGGATTACATTGGGCTCAGTTTTACCACGGGCAAGGCGAGCTAGTAACCGGCTTGGTTTATTGCCTGATTCAAATAGTCTATGTTTAGCAAAAAAAATCTGTGTCTCCACTTTTCTGGTTAAGAGCTGATTTAAGGCACAGCGAGCTGCATCCAGCTGTTTCGCCAGAGAGCTGCTATAAGATTTCTTAAACTGAGCTTCCAGGTTATCTATGGTCTTCTCTAAATCCAACTGTCTTTTAAGGGCATCTTTCCTCCGTGCCGACGTATAAGATATAATGGCCCCACGTATATATGCCTTGCCAGCTTCCCACAATGTAGAAGGACTAATATCTGGGGTTTTATTTATAGAGATGAACTGCTGCCACTCAGATGTGATATACTCAATAAAAGAATGGTTACTTAGTAGAGTAGGGTCAAGCCTCCAGTGCCTGCAGGCTGGATCCCGATAAGGAGGAGAGATAGTTACACTGATAGGTGAGTGATCAGAAAGAAACTTGGTATCAATTGTACAGTTCAGTACTCTACCCAAAACTGTTCTTGAAGACAAGAAGTAGTCTATTCTGGAAAAGACCTGGTGGGGAATTGAGAAGAATGTGTAGTCTTTATCTAGTGGGTGTAGTACCCTCCAAGCATCATATAAATCTAAATCTTTACAGAATTCCCCAATTTTTTACTTTTCTTGGAGAGAGTAGCTTGGGGGGGAGATATATCAATATTCGGGTTAGGTGTACAATTAAAGTCACCTCCTAGAAGTAAGTATGGGGAAGAAAATGTTGCCAAATCTGAAATAAGCTGTGGGATGAAAGAGGTATCATATATTGTTGGGGCATATATACACCCAAAAACTACATGTTCTCCATAAAGATAACCAGACAGAAGTACATAACGTCCCTCCTTATCCGATATCGTCTTATCCAGAGTGAAAGGCAGGGAGCGATGTAGGAGAATTGCAACCCCTCTACTTTTCGAGTTATAAGAAGAGTAGAATACTTGGCCCACCCAGTTTCTCCTCAGTTTTATATGTTCCAGGTCTGAAAGGTGGGTTTCTTGGAGGAAGGCTATTTGGCATCTCTCTTTTTTAAGGAAGGACAATATTTTCTGGCGTTTGATGACATGGTTAATACCCTTCACATTAAGTGAAACAACCTTAAGGTCACTCATGGAAGATTAAGCCCTTAATATAGTTGGAAGTATTCTATACATGAAACATTAAGAAAAAAGGCAGTATCTGACCTGATAATTAGTAAAGGACTGAAGCTACATATACACTGTAAGAATAAAAGTAATACAATGAGTATGGCTGTCTTTAGAAACCCCTTCTCAAAAGGTGGCTCAGAACCATGAACAAAATAGAGCCCCCCAAACGAGAGAACAAGAACAAAGAACATCCTTACAAAGGTGTTAAGAGTCTTAGGGCAGGTGAGGCAGAGAGGTATCCTCCCACCTGTGAGAGAAAAAACCACATCAGCCGCAGGGATGTCCACTGGCATCCCACTACCGATGCTTGTTCTCCGCAACCCACCCGCTCCCCAGCCGAACAACTGTACCAAGTCAGGGGAGAGGGTCTCACCCACATCTCGTAGCTCTAAAAGTGAACTCCGAGGGATGAGGTCCATACAAGTGGCCGGAGTATAATCCAGGTACATTGTAAAAAATAAGCGTCCGGCACCCATCTCCGAGGGTGCTGTCCCCATGTCGCACACAGGCTGCAGTTATCTATTCCTCATCTTCCATACGGCAAGTGTTCAGTTTCTGTGTCTGCTGTGTAAACCGCGTAAAAACACTTCAAATAATCCTTATTCCGCGCTCGGAATTAACCGTTCTTGCTCAGGAAATCCTCCGCTTCCCGTGGGCTTTTGAAGGAGCATTGTTCCCCGTTGAAGACGAAGTGCAAGCTGGCCGGGTAGCGCATCTGGAACCGTAGTCCTCTCTGGATGAGGCGTTCACATACCCCGTTGAACTGACGCCGGGCTTCCCTCACCTGGGCTGATAGGTCCTGGCGGATGTAAATCTTGTCGCCCTGGTAGATGATTTCGCCTTTCTCTCGGACAGCGGCGAGGATCCGTTGTTTGTCGTTAAAATTGTGCAACTTGATGATAACAGGTCGATTATAATTTTTCTTCGGCGGGCCTAAGGCTCTGTGAGCCCGGTCAATTTTAATCGAGCCTCGCTTGGTCTCCAGTCCCAGGGTGTCTGGAAGCCAGGTCCCGAAAAACCTGACGGCCTGGCTCCCCTCTGCACCTTCCTTAAGGCCGATAATGCGTATATTATCTCTGCGGCTCCTGTTCTCGCCGTCCTCAGCCCGGTCGGTTAAGATGTTCACTCGTTGTTCAAGTTCGGCTAGCTTGTTTTCCAGAGTGGTTGTGCGGTCCTCTCCATCCGAGATGCGGTTCTCAGTCTCAGTTATTCGCTTAGTGTTGTCCTCAACGCGGCTGCTTAGCTTGTCCAGAATAGAGTGTAATTCGGTAAACTTCTGCTCCATGAGAGCGCCAATCTTTTCGGTAACAGTTTTGGAAACTGTGTTAGCCACGTTTTCCTCAAACGAAATGCTATCGCCATCATCCATGCTAGCTTCGGTGTTAGCCGTGAGCGGCTTTTTTGCTTCGGGACGAGTTCTACGCGGTGCATCTCGTAAATTAGTATTCCCTTTAGTGCCGGACATGTTTCACAGCAAATGTAGCCAAAATTATTGAGGTTTAGTCGGTCAAAAATGGCCTTTATCGGCTGGGGAAGCGGGAGGTCGGCAAAAGCGATCCTCTCAGTCCAAATGCATCACGTGACCCCGAGCAAATTCATTTTTAACTTTTGAAAGTTTATTTTCCTATTACTTCAAATTAAGCTATACAGTACGGAATTAACTGCAAAAATTGATATATTTTGTATTCTCTTTCCTAAAGGGCACTGTCACAGCCATGCAATACACACTTATTCAATACTAGAACCAATAAAACAATGGGATTCATTAGTGATTGTGATGGCTGAGTAGCCAAAGTCTGATATTTATGAGCTCTGGCTTTACTCAACGTCTTCCCGTTTGTATCTGCTGTTGTATGGTAGCCTCATAGGACACACCTACAAATATCCATTAGCACAATATTAGCCACTGCCAGCTCCATTATTCCAAGCAAAAAAGGATCGGCCATGGTAGGCTAAACTGAAGGCCACTTATTTTATGCACTGTTGCTGGAACTATGACAGGAGGCCTTTACGCATTAGGCAGAAAACCAGAAAATTATAACCAAGTCAAAACAATATTTTGTTTATTTTTTTGAAAAATACAGTCCAGGTTTTTCCCACTCATTTTATTCTCTTGAGGATCTTCCTGCTTGGTGAGCAAACACAGTTAGATAAAGGAATAGCAAAGCTGAGCGTGTCGGCTTTTTTGACTCATTTGTTCTACAACTGTGGTACAGAGTCAAAGCTTAGTGCACCAACCTAGACAACAACATTGCTAGTGTGTAAGCAGAAGCCCTCAGTGCCTGTATCCCCCCTCAGGTAAATAATCAGCCACTGCTCTCCAGTCTGTTACTGGAGCAGCCAGAAACACAAGGCAGCAAGACCAAAGACTGTAATGGGTGGCATCAGTGGCCAGGACCGAGACAATTCTCAGAAAAAGGAAAAACATACTGAGACCAGTCCTGAGTACTACACCCTGAGTCACACTGAGGGTCGGAGACAAGCTGGTGCATGTGTCAATTTCCTGTAATGCAGAAGACAACATTCACTACTAGTCTTCTTTATTAAAACAATGTGATGTGATTAACCCTCTCAGGCAAAGTTGTTACTATCAGGGGCATAGCACAAAATTCTGGACACTACACAGGCCTTCTCTATGAGCCTATACAGCCTATAAGACCTTTTTTAAGAACTATTATGAATGCAATTTAAGACCTATTTCACATCCATGCAGGCAAGTATAAAGAATATGAAGGAAAATCAGCAGTGGTTTCATGTCGGTTTTATTTTGTAGATGTTACAGCATAATCAATATCCATTTTTCCTAAATGGTGCCCTCACAGTCGGCTGTTTTCAGTAACCAGGCTTCATTCAGTCCTCCCAGCTCCACCCACGCTCCACCTCTTTGCCCATTTTTGGATTAGCTGGGAGTCGGCGGAGTCAGAACTGCCAAGATGGCGACAGCCAGAGCCGACCACACTGAGCTTCACAACGGCTCTTCACACACCTATGGGCCCCCTAGTCTGACACCTCTTCTATAGTAGCAGTAGTTTAGATCAGGTATTATTAAAACACACTTGTTGTTACCACCAGTAATTACAGGTGTCATCAAATCAGCGAGGACTAATCTAAAGGATTATAACACTTGAAAAATAGCAGACTACAGTAACAGGACTGACTTAGCAGCCCTGAATATACAGCAATTAAGTTAATATCATCAAATACTAACACTATCTTTCTCCACTCTGTGTATGTCTGTGGTGCTGCTGTATTATTCAGGTATGGCCCCCACCAGGATGCTGACCCTTTCAAACCCAGAGTCCCTGCTCTAATCCACCACTTTGTAGCCTATAAGAACCAGGACCACGGGGCCTGGCTGAGGGGAGGGGATGTCTGGCTCGATGACTGCCAGTGAGTACTGCGAGAATGCGTGGATCCAAAGCTGATAGTAGATAAATGAGTGGATATATGTTTGTCTACTTTTAGTGCAACCGAGAGTAGTTCACAAATCCTCATTATGAATTCCAGGTGGCACAGGTCGTTCCTCTGCACATTGATGACAGAGATGAAAGTGAATATCCATCCCTATCTAATAATAATACGTTTTTATCTCCTTCAGCCAGTGTGTGTGTGTGTGTGTGTGTGTGTGTGTGTGTGTGTGTGTGTGTCTCCCTAGAGACCTCAGACTGTTGCCGTGCTCGCAGCAATAATATTCTCTCTTTCTTTTATAGATTTGCTGATAATGGCATTGGCCTCACTCTGGCGAGGTAAGTCCCCGCCCCCCTATTAAATTACCATCATATTTCCATGGACAGAAATAAAGGGCGGCTGTTTGCATTTACCGGTGGTGATGCAGGACCCTCTCTATCGCTCTCTCTCTCACTGTCTGTGTGAGTGAAGTGTGAATTGAAAAGCGCCTTATAAGGACCCTGCTTAGGATGCACTGGGAAACGGAGCGTTTTGATGCAGTGTGAAAAGTAATTTAGGGGTGCGATGGTCACAGAGGTGGGAATTGATCAGACGTTTTCAACTGACTTTACAAAGCCAGGTTCCTAGGGGGCGCACACGGAAGTTTGTGAATGCTCTGTTTCTGCCCTCCGTCCATTTTTTATTTTTCTCCCCCAAAACTGAGGTTTTCAAAACAGAGTGTATAAATCTTAAAACCACCACCTCTTTACTGGGTAAACAGAGCTTTTGCAAAATGATGATGTATTAGGCCATTGAGGGTCATGCTGCAGCTGTGAGGCAGTAAAGAACACCTTAAGTCTCCTCTAACTTTCTCTGTGATCGTTCATAAATATTGATACAGCCAAATACACAGCAGAGCAGTTGTCATTTATTTGGATTTGTGTTTATTTTGTCAGATGACGTTGCAATCAATAAATAATGAACGTAGCACCAGAGTGCAGCAGCTTGGAGATGACTTCTGGTTAACATGTATTATACCATGGTCTGGGTGAATACTCAATTCTGATTGGCGGCAGGATGTCCATTAATTCCTAATATAGGACACCTACTAAGTAGGTCTGTTAAAGTTCTGTATTAAAGCTGCAGTAGGTAACCGTTATAAAATAATTTTTTTGTCATATCTGCTGAAACTTTCACTATATCCTGACAGTAGAACATGAGACAGATAATCTGTGAAAAAATCAGGTTCCTCTGGCTCCTCCTAGTGCTCCTAATGACATTTGTTAGAATCCACTGGGCCTGAATGAAAACAACCAATCAGAGCAAAGAAAAATAGTTATACATATTCATTGTGTCATTTTGGCCGTATTTTAACATGACCACTGATGCTAACAGTCATGTCATGAAATAAGAACATAAAACTGAACTAACACACTCACAAAACAAAAAAAATAATTTAATAGTTGATTTGTACCAAACTGAGCTGGCTGCTTTGTGTACTCATTTTCTTCATGTATGTCTGTATTTATTTTTATTTTTGGTCCCCATAAACTCAGTGCAGTAATAACTATAGTGGCTTTTGTGGCTTGACAGCTCTGTATGTGCTAGACACATCTCTATCTGAGAAACAGGCAGTTGTGTTGTAATTATTCACATCAGATCATTAACCCACCTGTATTCTGTATTTTAAGTGGATTCATTATTTGCTCGACCTGAAATTTTTCAGCTATATTTACTCAAGAAGCACAATCACAGTTTTTCATCACTTGAATGTTTGAATTATAAAGGAAATTATCACTGTGGGATCAACAGCTAAACAATTCTACAGTACTGAAGTTACTATAACCACACTGCCGCTCCTACTGCTGGCTCTCCCAGACTCTGATTCTCCCCATCTGTGTGTGCAGCGGAGGGACGTTTCCAGATGACGATGGCTCTCGTCAGCAGGTGAAAAACTCGCTGTTTGTGGGTGAGAGTGACAATCGTGGGATGCGCTTCCCCGACAACCGGATCTGGGGCCCCGGGGGTTCGGACCCCACCGGCAGAACCCTACCACGTGGCATGTAAGTGACAATTAAAGCTTATTTTAGCTCTGTTTTGGTTTTACAGCCCACAAACTCACATCATCCATGTTTGCAGCTGCATCTGGAGGCTAAAAACACACCAAAATGAATATGTTGCCATAGAAACTTGTCAGTGTTTTTAGCTTGTTTCCCTAGAAGCCAAAACAATCATTTAATGCAGGTTGAAAAAGTGAAAAATTTAAGAAACCGCTAGATAGCAGTGTTGTGAAAGTTAACTAAGGACTGGACTATGATGTGGGATGGCACAGGATAAATACAGCCTTTTTTAAAAACTCAGATTTGATGTTATTCATACTAAAACTCAACGCCTGTATCGTGATATGTTGTAACACTAATACACAGCCCTAGTGACATATAACCATTGTTTTAAAAGCATTTGGATATATATGTGAAGTTGGGTTCTGACTATATATTGAGTGTAATTACATGCACACTGGTGTTGCTAGTGATTATGGAGAGGTTTTTGGAGTATCCCGGTAATGTGTTTGCCCATGTAAACCTGGTGTCAGAGATCAGGAAAAGGGCTCTAACTTAAGAGTGTTCCGCCATCTTGGAGACAGTGAAATATTACTCAGGGATTACTCAGGGAACTTTTGGGAAGGTTGCAGGATGGAAGAATTTCACTGGGACACTGCTGTCACACACACACACACACACACACACACACACACACACACACACACACACACACACACTGCACAATCGCACACAGAGCGAGAATGTGAACCGCACCAGTTACATCTGAAGGGTTACACCGGTGAAACGTAAGTCTTTGTCTCTGTTTAAATTGTATTTCAGGACAGTTTGTGATGGTGGTGAAAAGGGTTAAGTTAGGGCCCTGAAAGCCCTGTCACGGTTTATAGCAAGCTAAAAATTATGTCTGTAATAGTCTGAGAGAAACCTGGGTACTGTGGTAAGTAAACAAACAACTCATCCATATTTCTGTTGTTTGTCATGTACACAGATGCATCCTCAACTTGAATCAGTCATATGATGATAAATGTTATAATGATTATCTACACACTGAAATGAAAGTCAAAATCCGACACTGACAGATGGCAGAGGGTGCATTGTATTGTTGCTTTCATCTTTAATTACTAGAGATCTGATGGAGAAGCCATCCTGTGGTAGTAGAAAGCGGTAAATACAGTCCAGGCAGCCAGAGGTAACTCAGTCAGTAGAGAAATTAGAGACTACCTGGATGTGCATGAGTCATCTGTAGATTATCAGAATCATGTACACATGGAGCTGAATTATAAGATGTTCCCCATCAACATCTCATTCCAAATATAATCAGAACTAGAATAAGACTCAAAACCAAGATAGTATGAAAACACTCCTTTCAATATAGTCAGCCAAATGCTGTTAGTGTTACAGACGTCTAAATATCTTTCCTTTTTCAGCAAAGTTTATCTCGCTTTAACTTCAATATCCTTTTTGACCTGCAAATAAACAAAATTTTCTCTTTGGAAACCACTAAATACCATACACTCAACCTCCTTAAGCTTGAAACTTGGCTGTAAAAATTGGTATTTTGCGCATTCATAAAGAATGGTAGGTATGGTCAGCTTGAATCAATGCCAGTTCAGTCAGCCAACTCACATTTGAAATGTTTATTAAAGCAGTATAGCATATTTAGATTTTGGCATCCAGGCTCCGACCTCATCACTCCCCACAGATATGTTTACATAGAGATATTGGGGAGTGATGAGCAAATACCTTAACCCCTAGCCGGAGCCTACAGGTGGATGCTGGGGTGGTGGTGGGGATTACAGCGCAGCAGGCAGCAATAGTTTACAGAGCAGCAGCAGCAATACAGATGCAGGGCAACAGCGGCATTGACAGAGCAGAGGGAGAGCTGGGAAATTGTGCAGTTTAAATAGACCGCCAGATTGGAAGCTTGGTTAGTGATTATGGAGTGAGGCAGTGCTGCAGGAGTGGTTTGACAAGCTGTGGACATTTCTCTGCCACTGTTTAGAACAGACACGTATTCAAACTGACCACAGCTGCTGCTCTTCATGAAGGAGCAAACTAAGGACATTTGACAGCCACTTTCAAAAAGTGTTCCAAAGCGTTGGATAGCCCAAAGATAGATTGTTGGGTGGAGTACCAAAAACCTTACGTAAGTGTGGAGAGACATGTAGGACGTCAACAGCAGGGATGGAACTAAAGAAATATTCATGGCAAGAGAGTGGCATGGAGACTTTAATGGCAGAAATATATGCAGATTTAATCACAAACAATCACATGTATCATTTGCTTGGAAAAGCAAAGGGGGTCACAAGGTACACAGTAGGCCTATATCTCATTGTCCTACATTTAAAACGTATGCAGTTAAAACAACCAAAGAATAATAGAACAAGCATCAGGGATGAAGTTGTATGCAGTTATTGTGTTCACTGTTTGGGTTCATTGTACAGTTTATCAGTTGTTCTCTACTTTTATTGTTATGCCTTGAATATAATGTGAAATGTCCATAAAATATATCATTTAGTTAGAGGTAATCAGTTTAGTCAATGATAGAAAAGGGTTCCCTTAAGGAAAAAGGTTGGGGACCACTGTGATAAGCCATTATTCACAACCCCGGTCCGACTCAGACATTACACAACCAACAGCAATCTCTGTTTCAATTGAAATTTGGTGTAACACTGAGAGCAACTTGAAGCCAGAGTCATATTCCCTGTATGTGTACACAAACTAGGCCAATGAAGTTGATTCTGGTTCTGAAGGAATGTCTCAACAGCAGTTTTATCAGAGATTCCTTTATTGTGTGGGGGAAAGAGCAGTCCACATAAAGCACTTCTGTCTGAATTCTTCATCTTCAGCCTGACAATCTTTGATGCAACTATATGAACTTGGGCACACCATTGCACAAGTGCTCTCATGCTGTGCAGTGCTGAACATTTGATGAGGCCTCTGGATAGATTTTCATCACCATCCATGGCAGGGAGTCTGCTGTACACACACTTCTTCTCCCTTGTCTGAACACTACAGAATGTGAATTGTGGTCTTTCTCATTTTTTTCCACTGTACCACCAATTACCTGTGACCTTGAAGGTATCAGACAGAATTATCACATTATAAATATGTGTACAAAAAGGACACTGCCGTTTTCATTTAGAATTGGCTTGAACCTTTGGTTTTTAGGACCCACAGCTTTACTATTTAAGTTCAGTTGTTGTGCCCTCATCAGAGGTGTTTCCAGCAGCAGCAGGCAGCTGTTAGTGAAATATACCTGATAAACCCACTGTTAACCCAAGTTAATGACTAGCTGGTGTCCGGTACTCATGGGTCTGACAACGCCCATCTTCGAAACTCAGCCTTCATTTTGAGCTCAGCTGTACACTTTTAGGACTGAATCGCATTGAAACAGAGTAGGGAGTGTCATGGCTTCTCAATCCTGGGAGAAAAAAAATCTCCACATTTTGAGGTGACACACACATTTATTTTTATTTTTTATGTAGGTCATATAAAGGCATCAGCATTAAACTGAGACTGTTTCATCTCCAGTTAAAAATTCCTTGTAGTATGTGTAATTAAGGTTAGAAAAAGATTGATAATTTGCTCAGAATGAGCAGCCCTGGTCCAGTTAGTGCCTCTATGTCAGCGGGTGTGTAAATAGACACTGGAGAATGTCTTACTGTCTGTACTTCAGTGACAGATTTTAAAACAGTTTCATCATTCAGTTTGGTAAAGTCAAATGAAGAGGTAGAGTGATGAAAGTCTGTTTTCCACAGAGGGTTAAATTCTTTAACCTTAGTCTAATTCTTCTGTCCAAGTCGATAAGAGTTTATTCTTAACCCATTTGCACATGAGCTAATTTGGTACTTTTTCAGATATCCCCCTAAAATCTACTACTTCTAATCTATTTCAGATAATCCAGTAAACAAATACATCTTTGTTATACATTTGTCACATTATTGTGGCTGTGGCAGACTGAGGCTGTTTGAGGGGCAGGGGTGCAACAAAAAAGGGCACTAGCATGCAGAATATTATGATGGATTTATGCTTAGTTAGAGTTAGGAGTTTTTTCCACTGGAAACCTAGAGAGGGCGCTCTTGCGATGTTTTTTGAACATGGGGATATACCCCCAAGTTATAAGTGTCAATCAAATCTAGTAAATGCGCAAATGATTCAAAGATGGTGAACAGAGACTGGTGCCACTGTGGAAAATAATCTTTAATCCTCCGAACCCTGCCTTCAGCCACTGATGAGTAGCATGGACGCTAACACTGGATCTGGATCGGAAAATAGCAATAGGATGAGATGGGACGTGAACCCTTGCATTCTAGTGTTAAAGCAAGAGGGAGTGGGTGGGGTTGTAATATTTATATCCACTATCCCAACCTCCACCTACTTTACACTGCACTATATCAACATCACAATGAACATTAATTGTTAATGGGGTGTGTGTGTGTGTGTGTGTGTGTGTGTGTGTGTGTGTGTGTGTGTGTGTGTGTGTGTGTGTGTGTGTATCTGTGTTTCCCAACAGTGATTTTCCTATCCGGGGAATGCAGATCTACGACGGGCCCATCAACATGCAGAACTGCACATTTCGGAAGTACACTGCGCTAGATGGACGTCATACCAGTGCCTTTGGCTTCAGGCTCAACAACTCGTGGCAGAGCTGCCCCAACAACAATGTCACTGACATCACCTTTGATCACGTACCTGTGAGTCATTTCTTTTGTGTAAAATACACAAAATAGCACAGCAACTTGACTCTTGTTCTGACAAAAAAATGTATTTTAATGTTGGAAATGGTTAACTAAATGAGGTTTAGTTGAAGCATTCTGAGCTGTCCTCAGCACCAGAGGACCCCATCTACTGTAAGCTATATGAGAAAAAATCAGATCAATACAGTCTATTTTTATATGAGCACAAAATACCCATTATGAGCAGCTACAAATGTCTGTGCCTCATTCTCTACTGTAGATCACGTCTCGGGTGTTTTTTGGGGAGCCCGGCCCCTGGTTTAATAAGATGCAAATGGATGGAGACAAGACGACCATCTTCCACGATATCGACGGCTCGGTCAGTGAGTATCCCGGATCCTTCCTGGTTAAAGAGGACAACTGGCTGCTCCGTCATCCCGATTGCATCGACGTGCCCGACTGGAAGGCTGCCATCTGCAGTGGCCGCTATGCACAGGTGGGTCCGTGGGTGTCAAACTTGCTCAGACCTTCAGCCTCACAAACACAAATTTACCTTCTGTTACACCTTATTTGGCATTGTTTGGAGTACATTCATTTTCATATGCCAAAGTTCTTTGAAACCATAAAAAATAGTTTATTATATCTGTGTGAAATGACAAATCAGTCATGCATATCTTGGCATATCTTAGTCATCTGAATTGTTTATATGTGGTGCAGACCTTAGTAGGAGGTTGATTCTGTTGGCTTTAAACTATATTTACAGTTGTATGCAATTATTTGGGCCATTGTGGGCAACACAATCCTAAAGCATTCACCCCCATGGTTAACAGTTGGGCAGGTGTTCTTTTCATGAAATGCTGCTCCTTTTTTTCTCCAAACATCCCATTGCTTGTTTTCAATTTGCATCAGTTATGTTGCATACTTCTGGCATTGGATTTGATGATGAGGATACAGGTATGGTTTTCTTCTACTGACTCTTCTATGAAGGTTCTGTTTGCGTAAGCAGCTCTGGACAGAAATTACTGACTCTACTGAATTTTCCTGGAGGTTTTTAGAATTCACGTGGAGTTTCTGATTTGCCCTTCAGGCCAGCATATGAGCAAGTCTCTAAGAGTATTCCTGGTCTTCCAGATTTCACCTTGACCCTAGTTCACCTAAACTGCCATCTCTTAATTACATTTCTTCTTGCAGCCTTCTCCTGCACTGTGGGCATCAATAACTTAAATTTTTTTGCTGGCCTTTTGGATGGAGCTGATGAAGGTCTGAGACCTTGTAAAAAGGATTTAAGACTGCATAACTGTGCTTAGGGTGCACAAACTCTTTCACATGCCACAATTATGTTTTTATTATTATTTATTATTATTATTATTATTATTATTATTATTATTATTATTTATTTATTACATAAATCCTAACTATGTCTGAATGTTTGCTGGAAATTTGCTGGTTTTATGTTCCAAGGCTGTTTACATCTTTTTCAAAAAAAGCACTTTGACATTAGTGTACAGTGGTATGATTTGTCGCTTTAAACTACGCAAAAATCTGGCCATGCCTGTGAGTTCAGGTGTCTATGATCAGTACTCAAATCTGACAGCAGGAGGTAGCAGCGACTTGCCTAGAGTTTGACCAATAGCACTGATTCATTCTACCTGCTAACCCAGCAGGGAGGCTTGTCACTGTATGGCTGCTTCCTCTAGTGACGACAGTCTTTTAACTCATTAGCAAAGACAAACAGCAGACTGGGCTGATGTGGAAAGTTGAAGTTGTTAAATAATTAACATAAATAATGTTACGTAGCTAATTTGCAAGCTAGCTTGTTTATTTACCGCATATAAGTTGACAGAGTAATGCTACGATATGTTGTTGCAGACAAATGTGACTTATTCAGCATTATTGCAGTCAAACCTGTAACCGTGTATATTCAGTGGCGCAAAAAGTACTGAGATATGCAGTACAACATATAAAATGATATTGATATTGGATAACGCTTCTTTCAATTTTTTGTCTAAATATTAGAAGCATTCTAACTCTAGGGTTGTGTTTTCTTCAGATCTATGTCCAGACACGTAACCCTGCCAACCTAAACATGCACATAGTGAGGGATGAGTACCCCAATCGGCCCCTGACGCTAGAGGGCGCCCTGGGGAAGAGGAAACACTACCAGCAGTTCCAGCCAGTGATCACACTGGCCAAAGGCTACACCATCCACTGGGACCAGGCGGCACCTGCTGAGGTCACCATCTGGCTCATCAACTTCAACAAGTCAGTGGACACATGAGCTGCACTTGTGACAGCACACATTTCACACAAAGCATGTTTATAGTTGGTCTGTACAGTAGGATTTATTTATCAGAGATAACACAAATGAATTAACAACATATGTCCAGATTTAGCCCAATGGATTATTTTCTTTTGCGGTCTCTGGGCAGATTATAGAACAGACAAAATGAGAGACTAAGATTAAGAGTGCATAACATAAGACAAAAAATAGAGCACTTAAGCAAGGCATATGGCATGTAGACTTAATAAACTCGACACTGATGGACAGAGCAAGATGGAAATTTAACTGAATATCACACTGCCACTGTTGTTTCTCAAGTAACCACATTTTCAAGTGTCAAACAGGTTGTTAAATAAATTCTTAAATCAGTTGGAAGTGTGTTGCAGCCACATGATGCTCGGACTGATAGGGGAAATGAACTTTTACTTGCCTCTATCAGCAGCTCTAATGTGCCTGCTAGTATTCATAAAATTTGAGTAGAACCAAATGAACACTTGGAACAGGTCTGTGGTGTGTTTATGAGTGAGATCATAATTACTTGCCCCGAGTAGACTTTTTTTTTTTCAAGGGTTTATTGGCACTTTGAAGTCATCTAGAAATTACAGAATATATAAATGTCTGGACTGGTGCTCATATCATCATTCAAGATATGTATTATAGTGAGTAAATTACAGCTAAGAGCACCATGCTGAACTACAGTAGCCCCGACGTAGAAGGTAATATCTTTTATCTTGCACAAGTTATCTAATTTGGTTCTACGTGTGCACACAGGATAATAATTTGTGCAAATAAGATCCATATCTTGCACACTTTATTATCTTGGTTACACAAGGTATTGTCTTTTGATGACTTGTAGGCACAAATTAATTTATTATAATTATAATGCCTTGCAGGCATGTGACTCAAGTCATTTGGTCCAACTCTCAAACAAGTCCCCCCCAACATACTGCAGTGTAACCAGACCTCCCTCAGAGCTTTGTCACAACATAAAATATAATTATTCACTTGATAACGGCCATTTAATGCAGCATTAAATGACACATGACAATTTAAAAATGTGTTTAAAACTGAAATGTAACTTATAGATTGGATAATTGAACATGGTTTCAATATATCCATGGTTTTTAGAAATGTAACATTACAATGCCAACATTGGGTTGATCAGTGATATCGATCGTTAGGTTAGCTAGTGTTAGGGTTACAGAGTTTTGAGAGAACAGATTGTATCTGTAACCATATTGTTTCGCACTGAATATCACGACAATGCCTTGCTGTTATACCAGGTAGCGTTTCACTTGTAATGTAACAACTTTGAACATATTTCATATTTACACTGAAAACATAAAACAAGACAAGTCAATCCAGTCATCACGTCTCAAGTGAAGTCAAGTCTTTCACCTCCAAGTCAAGTCTTAGGACATTTACTTTCTGTCAAGTCAAGTTGCACATTATCAGAATAATGACTTGAGTCCCCATCTCTGATACCTTGTATGCAAAATGTAATAATTTATGCATAAAAGGTCTTTTGTGCAAAAGATCTTTAAATAAATATTTCATTCATCAAGACTCCAGGGATGAATACCAGTAAATGTGGTAGTGGAAAGCCTTATTGTAAATGCAAAGTTTCAAAAAGATGTTATCTATTTTAACTGCGCATGTAAAAGAGGATAATATATGTACAAACAGACTTTAAAATCACCCCTGAGAAACAAATTCACCTTTTTGATCCAGTGAAAAGCTTCCAGACCAGCATTTGATCTGTTTACAAGCCTGGTTCTTTAAATACACCAAGCAGCCTGAGGGCTTCATCTGTTGCAGTCAGCAATCCATGAAGTGAATTTTAGCCGGTATTTTACTTCCAGCTCCCCCATCACACTGTTATTGGAGCGGCACTGCAGCAGAGAGGAGGAAGATTGTGTCTCAGACAGTGAACGGAGCTGAGCTGTCTCAGGTGGCATGGACCACAGGTCATGTGACAGCAGGTGGTTGTATGGGCAGAGACGGTAACCCCTGTGTCTGATCAAAGATGGTCTCAAGTGTCAGATGTGAATGTCCTCCCTCATCTTTCTCTGGCTGTCCACTGACTCCTGGTCAGTGACCTTTGACCTCTTCCAGTGGATGCTGGGAGCTGGTGTTCACAGTAAGCTGATGTGGTCCCTACAGCTGTCATGCATGATGTCATAATGATGTCGCACACCACTCCAGTCTTCCTCTCTTTGGGGATGGTCTCTTTCGGATGTACCAAAGTTTTAAAGAGCCCACTTCTTCAGACAAAGTGCTGGTCACATTGTCGAGCAACTTTCCGAAAACTGACGGTGCAACAAGCTCTGTATTTGTTATTCTTCAGACATCCTCTTCTGTCACTTCTCATGTGGGCAACTGAGAGCAACATCGTGAATGCCTTTGAGGATAGACTGTTTGAAAGCATGTGCCAGTAACCCTGTTTGTATGATTCATCCCATTGAGCCTACAAAGACACACAAAAGACACAGAATTCTTCAGTTGGGGCAGATGTCTACAACAGGGTTACCAAGTGTCCTGGAAAACATGGAAAAGCTGGAAATTTAGTCACGGAAACATCAGCAAATTGATTAGAATGACCACATATCCTAGAAAAATGTAATTGTATTTTAGCTTCACTCAGATCTATGCCTCAGATCACCCACGGGTTTAGTCTGAAACTCCAAAACTCTACTGGGAAGAATAACCTGCCCGGTATGATCAGACGTGGAACCAACTTGCAGCAGTCTTTTCACTGCCCAGTCTATTTTTTCTGGAGCCGCGAGCACTATTCTCACCAAAGCACAGTGAAATGTTTTCTTTAACTATGTTCTTAGCACCCCATGTATTGATCAAACTCTCCCTTAGCACCAGGAGACAACAAATCTTGGCACCGAGCATGCTCATTGAGGGCATTCATTGTGTTGCACTCTGTCTTTCACACACAAAGTGCTGGAAGTAGTTGTGTTAAGAATAAAAAGCAAGAAGTTCAAGCCTGCTTTGCTTTGCTTTCACACCTCCACACAGTTGGCCACTGTTGATTCCAGAATCTCTGCAACGTACGGTTGTGTGGGAGGGTGTTTCAGACGCTGGCGAGCATTTGTTTAAAGCGTATTGATGACTTAACCCTTCAGAGGTGAATGTATGTAAAGAGACAACACATATACAGTTGTTGTGGATGACACCATGGGAAGATAGCTGACGAGGTTAATTTTGTTTTGAACATTGATCCCTCCTTACAGGCTTTCTGCAAATGGCATTGTCTGAGGTCACTCAAGATGTAGGCCGTCAGCTCATTCTTCTCACGCCTGCTATTTGCCAAGATTTACCACAGAAATGGGGAGAGTCTCACTCTGTGCTCCTCCCTTCAGATGCTGTTTACAGTGAGGCATTCAGCTATTTAAACTGCATAAAGTCTGGTGGTCATTTCAAGCATGTCATTCATTCCCCATGGCCTCAGTCCACCCTGACATGGACAGCACAGAGTCAAAGCAGTGTATTTCCATCGATGGTGCGTATACCAATGGCCCCATCTACAGTTCACAGAAGAATACAGCAAGGGAGGCTGATTCTCCACAGAAAGAGCTGAAATATGACTTGTTTATGTTAAGAAAACAGCTACTGTCTGTCTTTTGAGAGCAAACCAACTGATCATGGTTTAATGAGCCGCTCTCTCCTGCCTTCTGCAGTGTGATATATTAAAATGTAGCTACCTCCTGCTGATGTTGAAGCTTTGATGAAGGATCTCATAGCAGAGTCAGTAGAAAGCTGTTGAGCTAAACAGATTATCATCTTTTCAATTTGCTGTGTTGTTAATGAATTGTTGACTTTGGGTGAGTTTATATAGTACATTTTACTTTTATTCATTTTTAACTCCTCTGCTTTGTCCTGATTCAGCTTATTTGGAAACATCATTTTTCAATTAGAGCTGCAACTACAGGCCCTTTTCTTTGTGGGAAAAACATGGATTGGATTGATGAACAGTGGCTTTATGAGCTGAGAGCTGAAGTTATTAAACTGGGAGTTTGTCATAGCAATTAAACTGAAAAACTGTTCAGACAAAATGCATTCAACATGGATTCTGTATGCTGCACAGAGAGACAGACAATTAGCCGCTTAGAGCAGTGGATAAATGAAAGACTGCAAGTCATATTTGACTGCTAATGCATATTTTTGATATGAAGGTATAAAGTACAGGTCAGGTGTGATTTGACATATAACACGTGCTGACATGCTGACAATGTACAGATATTAGAGTGTAAACAAAAATTACAGCTGCAATTAGATTTTCACACTGCACTTGGTGCTCAGTTCTGATTTATTGCTCAGATCAGATTTTTTTTTTTGTCTGTTCACATAACTTTTTAAATGTGGCCCATATCAGACTCCAGTGTGAACAGGTCACTGTCCTGAAGTGACCTGCATGACTAAAGTCAGTCTGAGTGACATAAAAGTCCCAGGAATTCTGATATGAGTGGTCAGACTCACATTGCAACCATAGGGCCTGTATTGGATTTGGACCACATATAAAAGTGGCCTGAATCAAAATTGAAAAGCTCCGATTCCATGCGGTTTGTGCTGTTCACACTGTTATGAAAAGAAATCTGATCTGAGTCACACCAGAGCAAATGTATCAGATTTGGGTCAGTGTGGCCTGCAGTGTGAACAGCCTTTGTTGCTATTGCATCGGGGTCAAAACCAGAAAACACTGAAACATCCAAATGAAAATAAGATAAGATATCCCTTAAACCTGTAAACCGTTTTTTTTTTTTTTTTTTCAAAATATTTCATTGAAATGTTCTTCATTTACATGGCAATCACAGTTAACTTAGGAAATAACAGTATAAACATATGCTTTCGCACATATACACTGATGCCTATATATACTCTATAAATATATGAAATATATTAAAAGTAAATATAATAGAAATTATAGAGAAATTCTGGAGAAAATTGTTATACTACAATGTAGGAATGCTAAAGATCTTTAGAGCAGGGTTCTAAAACTGTGGGGCACAGACCCACTGCAGGGGAGGCGTGGATGACCAGGGCAATAATATGGAGTGGAACTGAGTCAAAGGAATGTGATTTCTATAAGGAAAATAAACACAGTTGCTTACCTTATGATTTATAAAACATTTTGGCTTCTGAAGGTGGGCATGCCAGAAAGTAAAAAAAACAACCCACTGCACTAGAGCGAGAGAAGGTAAGATAGACTTTATTGATCTCACACTGGGGAAATTCACTCGCTACAGCAGCTCCAGATACAGCACAACAGATAAGATAATACACATTAAATAAAAAAATAATAATATAGAAAAATAGAGAGTTAGAGTTAGTAAGAGTTACATGAACACTATATACAGCTGTTGATATACAGATGTGATTGGTAAGGAACATTGCACAGGTCACAGCCTGAGGTAGTGGCATGGTGTAACAAATAAATAATCGCACAGGACAAAAAGATGTCATCTCATTTATACTGCTGTATATATTTTGGTCGATGTGCAATGACTTATTTTTTATACCATGCCACTACCTACTGCTTTGACCTACACAAATGAAACTAAGCTAAACTGCTGCATTTAGACTATTTGAAATGGCATTACTTGACTCAAATGTATGAAATAGAAGTAACATCTCTTCAGGAATAAACCTACATGCACCAAATATACTGTAAGTTTAGTTTAAGAACCAAATTCAAGCACAGGTCACACTCAGGTCTCTCAGATTACATTGCACCAACACCCATACGATACTGTGCAACTGTGAATACATTCACATTTAATGTGAGCTGATTATTCTTTTACTATATAAAATAAATGGTATAAAAAAAAAAGAGTTAGCCAAGGCTAAAAACCATAAAGATATTCTGTTCATATTTTTTATTTAAAGCAGAAAACCCTCACAGTGGAGAAGCTAAACCAGTATTTGTTTCTAATTTTCTTTTATGAATGACTTTAAACGTGAATTCCAAACTGTTGATGTTGTTGTTACTTTTCTACCCATTAATAAAAGATTTGTTCAACCGGATTCACGACTCATGTGATAGTCACCTGATTAAAGGTAGAAATAATCACATGTATGCTGGGCGTGAGAACAGGTTTGACTGTGAGATCAGCACTGTATCTACATTGTGCTGCTTACTGTGTTTTTAGAAACGACTGGATCAATGTGGGCCTCTGCTACCCACAAGGCACTGCCTTTACCATCATCTCTGACATCCACAACCGCCTGACCAAACAGACCCGCAAGACGGGCGTCTTCATGAGGACTACCCAGAAGGAGAAGATCAACCACTCCCACCTGGCCAGAGGATACTACTACTGGGAGGAAGACACTGGGTCAGCCACACACCACCACATTAGCTCACTTCATCTCACAAACAGACTTTACTTACAACACATTATCAACCATCAGAAAACTTTGTGTATCTACATTTTCTGCATAATGATTATATTGTATGCTAATTAATGAAGCATTCAGGGTGTCCATTTAATGTAACAACTTTAAAGCTGTACTAATCAATATTTTTCTATGAACAATATATCTAATGGCTGTGTAATGTGAATTCATTCGTAGTGACAAACCCACAGAAAATGTACCCTTCCTAAGTCCCGCCCCTTTTTTGCTCTGTGCTCCAATAACAGTTGAGTGAGCCCCTGTCAGAACCTCAGTCAACTTCCTTCTATCCTGTACTTTGTTGAAAAGACAACCACACTTTTAAAATGGCTAAAAGATAAAAGTGACATATAGCTAGCTAGCCAATGCAAATGCTAGCTAATCTACACATCAATCGTTAGCTAGCTATAGTTACATCTGAAAGCTAATGGTAGCAAAACGCTGGTTAACAAGCTAACATTGTTAGTTCAGTGTGACACCTCCTGTTTGAAATGTTTATTACAGCAGTATAGCATATTTAGATTATGGCGTCTAGACTCCGACCTCATCACTCTCCACAGATATGTTTCCATAGAGATATTGGGGAGTGATGAGCAAATACCTTAACCCCCCAGTCGGAGCCTACAGGTGGATGCTGGGGTGGTGGGGGGGATTACAGAGCAGCAGCAGCAATACAGATGCAGGGCAACAGCTGCATTGACAGAGCAGAGGGAGAGCTGGGAAATTGTGCAGTTTAAATAGACAGCCAGTTTGGAAGGGTGCGTTTGGTTAGTGATTATGGAATGAGGCAGGTCATTGTGTATATCAGCACAGCTCGAGTTGACTGCCTGAACTAGCTCTCAGGCCTCGCTCCATTTAAGGCGTGACTTACAGCTATATGTCGCTTTTATCTTTTAACCATCTTCAAAATGTGGTTGCCTTTTCAACACAAACAAGACTAGTACAAAGCATATCTAAGTACAGGAAGTAAAGAAAATCTCCCTCTGATTGGCAGGTACTAATTGCCTTCATCGGTTTGGTTGGTTAGATTGAGGCATGAGGAGTGAGATGGGTTGGGGTTAGGGTAAGAATGTCAGGGTTAGCCTGTCAGAGGCAGGGTAGGGTGGTCGACGATTTCACCATCCTGGGGAAAAAATATTGTGCATGGGGAAGGAGAAAGTAGGCCGAGGTTCTGACCGAGGCTTGCTCAACTTTTATTGGAGCACAGAGCAAAAAGGGGCGGGACTTAGGAAGGGTCAATTATTACTAATGCCTCAGCTCCAGAGAGCTTTATAGACCTTTTAAAGCTTGTTTTGTTTTCTGACCCCCCAGAAACCCCTCTCACCAATCTCAGTCTGATTTCTTTACCTCATTACTGTAATTTCATGGTAACAAAGATGAATCTGCATTTCACAATGTCAATGATTTCTGTGGTTGCATGGTATCAGATGAAGTGTATGATGTCCAAAGCTTTACTCTGTTTATTGCAGCCTGCTTTTCCTGAAGGTGAAGGCCCATAACGACAGGGGGCAGTATGCCTTCTGCTCCGTCAAGGGTTGTGAGAGGGTGAAGATCACAGCCGTCATTCCTAAAGGCAGTCCACCCAGCAACTGCATGGCCCAGGCCTACCCCAGACACGCTGAGCTGCCTGTTGTGGATGTACCCATGCCCAGAAAGATACCAAATGCCAGGCTGGTGAGAATGGGGGGATGCAATGACTGATGCAAGTTAGCTTTTAGATGTAATGTTATCTTTAAACCATCTTCAAATGTGGTTGTCTTTTCAACATAGATTAGCCTAGCACATAGCATATCTAAGTACAGGAAAGGAGGAGATTGACAGCGGTTCCAAAAGGGGGCGGGACTTCGAAAAAGGGTCAATTTACTTTCACCCACCAGTAAATACCGATAATGGGAACAGTGATGCTGGGCCTTGCACTGAAGAACTGCTGTCAGGTCAGGTGTAGCAGAGATTTAAGTGCATCACAGAGGTGAACACAGGTGTAATTAATAATGTTAATGATGACTCTGTTCATTTACAGTAAGTTCCCCAGTGAGCCATACAACCATTATATCATTAGTTACACCTGTGACTGTCCTTTTGTCAAAATGTCTTACATACTTGCACTAATGTTTCAGACTTTGAGAACTAAGAAATACATTCCACCATAATGAATGGCCCATTTGCTGTATTCCTATTTACATTCTGTTTCTTGGCTTCATTCATTTTTTTGAGTGTCTTCCTGCTGCTGAATCTCAATTCCCCCCCACAGCAACATTTAGAAATGTACTCCCTTATATTAAAATGGCTATTGCAGCAGTGATTATTTCACCTAATTGGTTTAGCTCTGTGATAGTGGTGAGTGTGAACTGGCTTTAAATTGCTTCTGTGAAATGCCAAAATCTGTGTATCAATTCCATCTCTATTCCTTTTCTTGTTTGCTCTTAGCACACACCAGAACACTTCCTGGAGGTCAAACTGGAGTCCTACAACACTCGCTTCTTCCACATCAAGGAGGACTTTGCCTTTACTGAGGTATCGTTTGTCTCATACAGACAGTAGATTACTCTCACTTTGGTTGAACAGCTTAGATTTAGGCCACTGGTTTGATATACAGAATTAAACCTGTTTTATGTGTACTAGTGTGATTTAGAAACCTGTTTCACTAGAAATGGGAATGAATGAAGGGGGAATAAGCATAATAAACAAAATCCAATCACAGGCATTTCTAACTAACCGGTTAATTTTTAAGAAAAAAGACAAATGACATGACATTCTATTTAGTTTTCACATTTTTCTCAGGTTAAAAGATTTAAAAACATAGAGGTGAAAAAGAAAATATATCTGTGGACATCTGATCTAATCAGCTTGAACACACACCAAGTTGTGGAACCCCCTACAAGGCCAGCTGCTGGCTGAGTCAGGGCTCATATCCTACTGTATACAGACGGAAGTGGAAATTATCTCCAGAGCTCAGGCTAGCATGTGCATGTTTCAGATTTTTAAGTCTGCAGTGAATTTATAGATCCCAGAACTGTATGTGATTGGCTGGCTGTGTTGTCACAGGTGAACGGCAGAAAGTTGTACCAACCAGAGGATGGGGTGCAGCTGACCGTAATTGACGGGCACGATGGGAAGGTGGTAGAGAGCAAAGACTTCAGGAACTCCATCTTACAGGGCATCCCCGCACAGATAGACAACTACATCAGTGGACTGAGAGACGGGTAAGAAGTCCTTCAACATCCTTCAACATGTTTAGGAGTCTTCATGTGATTAACACCATGTGTTGGCGTGGGCCTCAAAGAAACTTTGCATTGCCACTAGGCATGGGACCATACGAAATTTTACAATTATATTATATTATATATATTATATTATTTAAAAGACACATGCAGCTAAAGGTGAACACTAAGATGCTGTTTCTCACTCTTTCTCTAGTTCCATTGTCCTCATTACGTCTAAGGGTCGTCTGTTTACCAGAGGATCCTGGACTAAAGTCCTGCAGCGACTTGGAGCAGACAAAAGCGTCAAATTGAAAGGTAACCAACTATATGTGCACTGAGTGGAGCATTTCAGCAGCAGTATGCTGAGGAATGCTTTGGACAAAACATCCAGCATTTTGAACAGAAATGCAGTAGGTGGCAGTGTTGCTTCAAAGGTTGCTTTTTACCCAGGTCAGTGTGACTGTAATGTCTAAGTTTGATTATGTATGTATTATATAACAATATACAAAAACAAGCAACAAAAAAACAATCAGCTATCCTCAAGCCTCCAACCCAAAGTGTCTTTCTATTTTTCTTGGCTTTTTTCACATATTATCTGTCTCATGTTCTACTGTCAGGATATAGTGCATGTTTCAGCAAAAATGCTAAAAGTAATTTTTATAAAAGTTACCTCAAACTAAAACTAGGTGTGAAATTTTAACCTTTTTTTTAAATCCTGTCCCTGCATTAAACAAGGCACTGGACCCCAACCTTCTCCATTAATTACACACTGGGGCCATGACAAATAAATCACATGAAAATGCACCTGAAAAATATGTTGCATCTAAAATATTGATACCAGCTGCGATGCAAATCTGTGACATTAAAATTAAATACTAAGCATTTTTCTACACCTTATTGCATTGACTAAAAGGAGCCAGAGGCTCACAGTGCAGCACCGAACGGTCCACAGATAGAGAGGTTGCATTCACCAGCTTCCTCTCAGTTTCCTGTCCTTGCACTTTGGCCCGTTCTGACCCCGACTAAAGGTTCTTCTGGTCAACTAGTCGACACCTTTATGCTATTAATTTCAATATATATATATATATATTATATATATATAATTAACTTGCTACAAACTTGCACCTCTCCTTTACCTGCTGTGTCATTGTCCACAGAGTCAGAGTCCTGGTTGGAACCACTGTAAATCAGCTGCCCTCTATTGCGCTCTCTGGTTCTGTTGCCCTTTAAGCCCCCAATCAGGGCAAGGCAACAAGACATCGCAGCAATGGCCCAAAAAGACTTAATAATAAGCTTACATTGTGTATGATCATTATCCCCATTCACAGTAACGGAGGGCTAAACCAGAAGTCTCTAGTGCACATGCTCTATGGGCTACTGTATCCCGTTCTCTTTATTCATCCATAGGGTAGAGTCAGTCATAGGAGCACACATACAACAGTGCACCGGTAAGTGACTCCCAGTGTTACAAGAGAAAAGATCCATGTTGCAACAGTCTTCCGATACTTTCGTCCCAGTGACAAGGCGCAGCTCTCGAACAGAGTTTAACATTTTCATTTTTCTGCGACCATCCAACGAATAAAAATCAGCAGAGACTTTCCAATTGACATCAATGGTAACTGGACCTGTACTTGTATAGCACCTTTCTAGTCTTCTGACCACTCAAAGCGTTTTTACACTACATGGCACATTCACCCTTTCATACACATTCACACACCGATGCGCGGCATCGGGAGCAATTCAGGGTTCAGTATCTTGCTCAAGGATACTTTGACATGTGGCACCAGGAGCCGGGGATCGAACCAACAACCTTCCAATTAGTGGACGACCCACTCTGCCTAATGCCCTAATAAGACTGTTTTTTGTGGGCTTTGAAGATAGCATAGATGGACGTAAGGGCTTCAGATCCCTAGCACATAGCAGACTGTGCAGAGGGAGTAATCGCCATCCCAACTTACTTTTGTCATGCTGTCTTTATATTGTGTGTCTTTTGTCGTTAGGGCAGCCCTTAATAGTCGAGTTAGGCGCTGAAAAACAGAAAAAGGCCAAACTTAGTTCTGAAGCTGCACCTTGTCACGGAGGACAAAAGTATTGGGATTGTTGCAACACGGACCTTTTCTCTTGTAACGCAGGGAGTCACTTACACTCACTAGTGCACTCTTGTATACATAGATATAGAAACGTAGATACCATGTTCTCAATTTGATGTGCAGTCGTCTGTTAACAATGCTGAGAGATTCAGACTGCACTACAAACCCAACTAACCCGCTTAATTCTGAACCAATTTGAATACAATTTAACATGATACTGGTTACTCGTAGGGATTAATTCAGTCACTGGGGGAAGATCTAATCAGCTCTATGCCCAAAACAGTGAGGTAAACAAATAACAGCCACAGTTAGTCAGACCAGCACTTTGGCCAAAATACAGAATGAAAACAATTACATAGATGTGTACTTGTTGCCGGCGTAAGTTTTTGGCATAGAGCTGATTAGATCCGCCTCCAGTAACTGAATTCATTTCAACAAGTAGCCAATATCATGTGCAAATTCTCACATTTATAACCACATTTCATGAAAGTCAGTTCAGAATTAAGTGAGTTAGTTGATTTTGCAGTGAAGTCTGAATCTCTCAGTGTAGTTAGCAGCAACCGTGCAGACATTTGGCAGCATACAGCAGTGGCCAATGAGGTACAGTATCTACGTTTCTGTATCTATGGTTGCATATGCTAACTGTCCTAGCTGCTGCCACTAGCTAGTTAGGTGACTGTCACCTGGACTCAGTGCCAAAACGGAGGATTTGCAGCAGCTCTGACCAGGACTCTGACTGTGGGGATGAAGATAAGGCGGGTTCAGGCAGGGACAGGAGGGGCATGAAACAGAGGAAGTTTATAGTGAGTTTATTAGTCAGTAACTGTTAACGTCATCCATCGTATCGATAAGGCCGCCAGTATTTGTCTTAATAAAGTTGGAAGTTATTTAATAATAATAAATACGTATGTATTCTGTGTTTTGAACAACAAGACTGTATGATGTTACAGTGTTGAAATAAATTAACTAAATATTCAGAATCATTACTGTTTTTTCTGTTAGTATTCAACAGGCAGCTGTTCAATTCAATTTCAATTCAATTTTATTTGTATAGCGCCAATTCATAAGAGAAGTTATCTCAGGACACTTTTCAAATAGAGCAGGTCTAGACCGAACTCTTTAACATTAATTACAGAGACCCAACAGTACCACCATGAGCAAGCACTGGCGACAAGGGCAAGGAAAACTGCCTGTTAAAGGCAGAAACCTAGGACAGATCCTCCGGCTCTAGGTGGGTGGTCGTCTGTCTCGACCAGTTGGGGTGAGAGAGAGAGAGAGAGAGAGAGAGAGAGAGAGAGAGGCGACAGACAGACAGACAGGTGCAAAGCAACAACAGTATTGGCAATGGCAGTCAAGCAGGACCATGGCAGGAGGCTCCACCAGGATCCATGAGAACCTGCGAGACGAGAAAGCACAAGAACTCCGGGGAAGAAGTGGAGTTAGTAACATGCATTAAAGGGACATGAATGAGTGCAGAAAGAGAGAGGAAGAGAGTAGCTCAGTGCACCATGGGAAATCCCCGATAGTCTAGGCCTATAGCAGCATAACTAAGGGATGGTTCAGGACCACCGATCCAGCCCTAACTATAAGCTTATCAAGAGGAATGTCTAAGCCTACTCTGAATGTGGTGAGGGTGTCTGCCTCCCGAACCACAACTGGAAGCTGGTTCCACAGGAGAGGAGCTTGGTAACTGAAGGCTCTGGCTCCTGTTCTACTTTAGAGACTATAGGAACCACAAGTAGCCCAGCATTCAGAGAACGTAGTGTTCTAGTGGGGTAATAGGGTACTATGAGCTCTTTAAGATATGAAGGGGCCTGACCATGAAGAGCTTTATAGGTGAGGAGGAGTATTTTAAATTCAATTCTACATTTTATAGGGAGCCAATGCAGAGTAGCTAGTACAGGGAGATGTGATCTCTTTTTCTAGTTCCTGTCAGTACTCGTCTGCAGCGTTCTGAATTAATTGGAGCGTTTTAATGGACTTATTGGGGCAACCTGATAATAGAGTTGCAGTAATCCAGCCTAAGTAACAAATGCATGGATTAGTTTTCTGCATCTGTCTGTGATAGTATGTGTCTAATTTTTCTAATATTACGTAAATGAAAGAAGGCAGTCCTAGAGGTCTGCTTTATGTGGGAGTTAAATGACAAATCCTGATCAAAGATAACTCCAAGATTCCTGACAGTGGTGCTAGAGGCCAAGTTAATGCCATCTAGAGTGACTATATCTTTAGACAATGAGTCTCTAAGGTTTTGGGGCCAAGAACAAGAATTTCGTTTTTCTGAGTTTAACATCAGAAAATTGCAGGTCATCCAGGATTTTATGTCCTTAAGACATGTTTGTAATTTAGATAATTGATTAATTTCATTGGGTTTGATTGATAGATATAACTGCGTATCATCTGCATAACAGTGAAAGTTAATGGAGTGATTCCTAATAATGTTGCCTAAAGGGAGCATATATAAAGTAAATAGTATTGGTCCAAGTACAGAACCTGTGGAACTCCATGACTAACTTTAGTATTTATGGAGGATTCATCGTTAACATGTACAAACTGAGTACGATCTGATAAGTATGACTTAAACCAGGTTAGGGCAGTTCCTTTAATGCCAATTTGATGCTCAAGTCTCTGTAAAAGAATATCATGGTCAATGGTGTCAAATGCAGCACTAAGATCTAATAATACAAGTACAGAGACAAGTCCATTGTCAGAAGCAGTCAGAAGGTCATTATTAACTTTAACCAGAGCTGTCTCTGTGCTATGATGAACTCTAAATCCTGACTGAAAATCCTCAAATAAACTATTGTTATGTGAAAGTCACACAACTCTTTGGCGACTACTTTCTCCAGAATCTTAGAGAGGAACGGGAGGTTAGAAATCGGTCTATAGTTGGCTAAAACCCCTGGGTCAAGAGTAGACTTTTTAAGAAGGGGTTTAATTACAGCTACTTTAAAGGACTGTGGTACATATCCTGATAATAAAGAAAGATTAATCATATCCAGTAAAGAAGTGCCAATTAAGGGAACAACTTCTTTAAGCAGCCTAGTTGGGATCGGGTCTAACAGACAGGTTGATGGCTTCGATGAAGAAATGATTGAAGTTAACTGATGAAGATCGATAGCAGAAAAACAGTCTAAATATACATCTAAGTTTACATTGACAGAAGTCCCTGAACTTGAGAGCCACGATAACTGTTGATGGCAGTTGGTGATTAATTTTTCTCTAATAGTAATAATTTTATTATAGAAGAAGCTCATGAAGTCATTGCTACTTAAGTTTATGGGGATATGTGGCTCGATAGAGCTGTGACTCTCTGTCAGCCTGGCTACAGTGCTGAAGAGGAACCTAGGGTTGTTCTTATTTTCTTCTATTAGTGCTGAGTAATAGGCTCCTCTGGCATTACGGAGGGCCTTTCTATAAATCTTAAGATCATCTTGCCAATTTGAGCGATATTCTGATAATTTGGAAGAGCGCCATTTCCTTTCAGATTTCCTAGCTATTTGCTTTAACTGGCGGGTTTGGTGGTTATACCATGGTGCTAGTCTCCTATGTTTTAATAATTTCCTTTTTATAGGAGCGATAGAGTCTAATGTTGATCGTAGTGAGCCTGTAGCACTATCGACAAGATCTGTTCAAATATATATAGTTCAATAATTAAATGTATATTATAAACGGAGGCAACTAGACGACTATTGGCTTTATTTACAGCTACTAGTCGAGGGGCAGTTGTCTATTTGTCATATAGTACAGGGTGATGAGAGACAATCAACAGGTCAATCCACATTTTAATGAATCTCACCAAAAAACGCCCCCAGTGTGTAAAGGCCTTTAGGGCCAGCAGCAGAATAGGACCGTAGCAACTGGTGATAGTACCTTATCAAAATGAATGAGTCACAAGTGTCAATAAATAATACATAACTGTAAATATATAACAGGCATTATGAATTTGGTGTGTATATCCAGGCTCCTGTTTAGAGCTCAGATGATTTAATTTACTGTAATGTCCTTTGGCCTCCCTGCAGATAAGTTGGCATTTGTGGGCTTCAAGGGCTCCTTCCACCCCGACTGGGTCCATCTGGAGGTGGACAATGACCGAGCCAAGATCCATCAGGTCCTGCCTGTCCCTGTGGTCCACAAGATGAAGCTATGAGTGGCAGGCAGAGTGGGGAAGACAGCAAGAGACTATGTACCCCCCAGATACTGACTCACATACACTCCCTACAAAAAACATGTACAGACACACACTTACACGACACACTGCCAGCACTGCACAGTCAGTTGCTCCAAGCCATTGGTCCAGGATCAAGTGGTGTTTTTTCTAAGATTTTGGCGGTGAGCAAAATTATGTGATTCTATATGTTGAAAAGGGGAAGACCCTCTCCTAGAGCTAGCAGTGCCCATGGTGAACTGCATCATCGCGGTCAGCACATCCGTACAGGGCGTAGGGTGACAACATGTCCTCTGGCAGCCATATTGGAGGTCCTCAGCTCTTTGACAACAATGGCTCAGAACAGCCAGCGGTGTTGTAGAAATGTGTCTCCACAGACAAGAATGACATAATTGAATTTGGTTCTGTTTCTGACTTAACACTGTCACTGCATCATTAACAGCACTGTTATGTTTACATTATGGTAGCTTGTCAGATAGAGTAACCATTGGAATTGGTCAGCAAACCATCACTGCTGCAAAACATCTGTTTCGTACACCAGCAAACACAGACTAGTTTCATGTTAACATTGTTAGGCTGGTTTGCTCTGACACAGCCAAAAACATTAACAGACTCTTCTCAAGCTTTAGCGTAGAAAAAGTGGCTTAAGGCAGTTCAGCCTTTGATATTCTCTATCCTCTAACAGACTTCGCTATCGGTTTACCCCCGCACTCTGACATGTACAGCAAAAATGTTGATACCCTTTGGCGCTATTGCCTGGAATGAACTAGTTCATATGTTGTTCGAACACATCTGAAAGCAAAACAAACAGTAAACTTAAAGGTAGGGTGACGTTATGGGCAAGATGAAAGAATGAAAAAGGAGAGCTTCGCAGAAAAGTTCAGAGCTTTCCTACTTTTACAAGAAATGTCCGTTGAATGCTATTAGATGTTGTTTGACGGTCTGACAAGTACTTGCATGATGCCACCCGTTTAGAACAAAAATTGAGAAGGTTAGGGCAAGTTTATCATTGGGAAAGTTGAGGGTTCAGTTGCTCAATGAGCAATGACCATGTATGAGTAAAAGTGCCTCTTTCTGGTAAACCCAAAGCCCTCCCTGCAACCTAGTGGTTAAAATATTTCTGCGGGGGGTTTAGACTCCGAGATGCTCCTGCTTGGTTCTCCAGTCTTGGGTAGATTGCCCAGCCAATAGTGAAGTCTGTTACAGATCTACTCAGAGGCTCACAGAACTGGAGTTATACATTTATCCAACTAACATCCAACCAGTGACAATATGCAAATATTTAGTTTTAGCGAAAAACATGATGCCGTCCAGATTAAGTTATAGTATTCAGTGCCAAATATCCAGTGCTCTGCCAATGCAGAGATACCTGACAACTACAAAGAGATACAAAACACCTTAAAAAAGACGCAACACAACCAGAGACACAATGTGTGTGCCCAGAGGTCTCATAATCCGTTTATGGTCATGGTAAAGAAATGGTTCTAAACAACCTGTTTTTTAAGCATTAAAGGTCATGCTTTAAGTTTAAAGGAAAAGCAGTTTGACAAAAAAGTTTGGCTAAGACTCATCTTTTCTAGCATTTTAAGTCCAGTTTGGTCCAAAAGTTCATTTGTCAGCTTTCACACCAGTCTAAACAAACTCATCCAAACGGGCAAAAGCACTAGTTTGTTTGAACTATTAGCCTACTCAAATGGTTTATTTTTTCCCCAATACTTCCTGCATTGGCACAGAACAATGGAAAAAAATACAAAGTGCTACAACAAAGAGTTGTGTATGATTGTAGTTCATAGGAGACTGAGTTAGCCACCTGAGATATTAGATTATTCACTTTTACACTGATCATTTGACAGTAATCATTTCCAAGAGTGTCTTTTTCCAGCCTGGTTGTTTGCTATTTATATAGTACTGACTACTGGCCAATTCCCCAATGGACCTCCATAATGTCAGCCACGGTTGCTAGGCGATTTATGATGCAAAAGCACAGCCTTTATACAAAAAGAGGGTGCAAATACTAAAAGTGTGGGTCAGTTAATCAAACGCATGTATAATGTATGTGTATCACTGAGCATCCTTCCCATGCAGGTCTCTGTGATGTGTGACAGACGTAGAAGTTGAAAAGTGGTTTTCACGTCCTGCTTTGTTTGACCTGTTTCAAGAGAGAAAAGAGAAGAAAAGAAAAGAAGAAAAACAGCAACATTCCTTGTTTTGCATCCCGACCTGTGGTTGTTAACTTGCTCCGTTTCATTCCGAGCACTCGCTCATGTGATATGGTGATGTTTTTCTTCCATGGTTTTTTTTTTCATATCAGTGTTTGTGATCCATCCGTCTGTGTTATTGATGTTAACCAGCAAGAAGCCCTTAACAAAATAAAAAAAATTGAATTGAAACTTTAACTGAATTGTTAAATCAGGGAGTTTTTAAATGTGCAATTTCCCCATTTCAAAGTGACAGAGAAATCTTTCAATCCGGCAAGAAAAAAAAGGACTCCCCCTCTCTTTGCCGAAATAGCTGGTCTTTTTTCGGAGGTTGTAGCAGTAATTTAGTGTTTTGTATGTTTAATGTGTTTTTAAAAATCCACAGATTGCTAAGAGATATATTTTATACTTATTTATTGTACAGGCACAGTTGATCCAAATCTAAAAGGGACATCTTTTGAGTTGTAATGTTATTATTGTCCTGTATGTATACTGTATGTAAGAAACCATTATAGCTCCATTTTAAAAGATTTGTACCAGACACTTGCTGCATACATGCATATGACTCTTGGTATAGTTGGCTTGTTTTAACTGTTCACCTAATGGATGTGTCGTATATGTGGCTTGGGCTTGTAAAGTAATGAAGCTCCTTTGAATTTCTTTGAGGACTTTTCGTACAGAAATAAATGATGCTGAACAGTTGGTCTGATTGTCTGTTTGTCCCTGCTCAGACAAACACAGCAACATGCCAGAGCTTCTTCAACACACTGTATTCTACTCACACGACATTACAAGGGCCCTCTCTTCTACTGCATACAAATTCTAGAGAACAGGCTATGCATACAACTGTAAGGCAGTCATTCTTACTGCCTTTATCCTAGATATAGAAATATATAGGGGAGAGTGGGGTAAGATGAGCCATTTTTCATATTTAGGCTCACTACATCAAGGCAATCATAGTTTTGTCACTAATATATCTGCATATATTTCAGGATGTTGTGCATCCCTTCAAACAAACAGAATAAGTGTAAACATAACTGTTTCAATAATAAAGCATGAACAAAAAAAGTGGTCTTGTGGCTCAACTTACCCCGTGTATGGGGTATCCCTACTCCCCCTCCCCCACTTCCACCCCACCCCTCCTTCACCTTCTCCCTCCCTAAATAACACTCACTTCTTCACTTCTCACTTCTCTTCATGTGTATTTTTATTTATTATATACAATTCAACAGGTACAATAACTTTTTGTATTATTATTATTATTATTGCATATTACTGCTAAACAGCTGTTTTGTGAAAAAAAAAAACATTTTAACATGAGAATGCCTTAAAGCGCGCTTAGGAAGAGAACATTAACAGCTGTGTCTTTGGAATATACACAGAATATGTTTTTGGATACACTTATTAAGTGTATTTTGGCTGTAGCCACCGGCTCTACTTACCCCTGGTCAAATGGCTCGACTTACCCCAGAGCTACCATTCTGACTTTATTAGTCCCCACAGCTAAAATGGTGCACTTTTATACTAGCTTTATGAGCTCATGTTGGAGCTCATAGATACCACAACTGATGTATAAAACATATTTAAAATGATCTATTTTGGACTAAACACAATTCTCATGAAACTTATGATAGACTAAATTCACTTTCAAGAGTGAAAAATGTTTTTTTGGAAATAAATATCGAACCACTTTACCCATGTGGTTCTTACATTCACAGACTCCATGAAATGATGCCTTCCTCCTAAATATTAGGTCACATGATCCATGTTTTTTACCATTTCCTAGCAACAAGGGGTGGCTCAACTTACCCTTTGGCTCAACTTACCCCAGTCTCCCTACTGTGTTCTTGATTTGACACCCAGAAAAAAGGATCATTTCTACACACTTGAGAATGATATATTACATGCACCCCATACAAGCCAGAGAACTGCTTGTTGAAAGAGGTATTAGTTTTTACATTGAATGACATGAAATGAAAATAAATTCTGTTAAATTACTTTGATGAAATAACTGTTCTAATGCAGTGTTTCCCAACCATTGTCTTTAAGAGATCCCCCATTTCTATCATTGAGTAAACTGACTAAGTGACATATTTTATGACTATTTTATGTTATATTCAATGCATAACAGTAGAGAGCAATTAAAAAACTATACAGCAGTAACTTAGTTGAAAATATATCTATATATGTATATCTAAATAAGTATGTGAACTGTACAGTACTAATAGTACGAGTACTGAATTAAAATAAAAAAATAAAAAATTAAATGGTGCATAAAAGTGGCTGGCAGATGTTACAGAGACAAACAATGTACAAATAAACTTTCAAAAAGACGAAACTTAATTTTGGATGTGCCACTCGACTTATTTTACCACTGGACTAGAGGACATATATATGCAGCACATTTTCACTGAAATGACTCGTGGGCATAAAGGAGTGCATCATAGCAACCAAGCTTTATGCATGGTTGATAACACTAGAGCGCTCAATGATAAAATGTGTCTGGACTTCTTTCCTCCTGGCCTTTGTGCGCTTTTACATAAAAAAAATATCCCATAAAACAATATCAACTGGGAACACGAGTCAGCAGTCTGAAGACACACAGGAATCCCTTACAACCTAAGTGACACTGGGTTTGTTCAGGGCATTCTGGGATTGTACTGCTACGTTCACACTGCAAGTGGCCCAACACTGGAATTATTGGGGCTACTGGATCCTATTCATTGGATAGGACAGCTTAAGATGGGGGGTGACAAGCGACAAAGGTCCACAGGCCGGCCCTAAACCCATGGCTGTTGCTGCAAGGACCCAGCCCCAACATATCGGAGATTGTCTCGGAAAAACACATCAGAAAAATATAAGTTAAAGTAAAGGGAAATACATTTTTAATGTATTTCCAATACAAGTGTTCAATGCCAATGTTTACTTTTTTAGTTCAGGTTTAGTTTTCAATGCCAGAATTATAATATCTCTGTTCTAGCCCCCTACTTACACCACTATGGTGCACATTTGGTGAAACAGTCCTACTTTTGACTGTTCATCATGATTTTGTCTGTATTGTCTGCTTTTATCCGCATTGCTTTTCTCATATAAATATACAAATATGATTTAGTCTAGGAAGTGAAGAAAATGATTTCAATGATTTATTAAGGTGACTATGCTGTACGCAGTGTCAGCCATTACAGTACAGCCTAAGAGCAGCAGGTTGACATAAACAATGCCCTCACACGGGAATCCAGGAGAGGTTTGATTCAAACCTCAGCAATGAAAGATAACTCATACGATTATATAAAACATTTTTTATTTTCAGTGAAAAATCAAACGTGGGTGCTACTTTTATATCAAGTCTTGACGTGCTGCTGGATGTGAACAGACCAGGACCAGGAGGTCTGATGAATCACTCCATGTCTGTATCGAACATGGCAAAGAAGAACAATTACTAATGCTTACCTTGAATACCATATAACAATATGTGCTTGTATTGGTTTTCATTCGGTGATAACTGATCAACAGAAAATAACTAAAGAAACCAGACAGCCCTGACATGACAGGTGATTTTAAAGAGCTTGTTACCACTCTGTGACAATGATTTCAAGAATGTGCTTGCCACTGTACCAATGAGGGAGAGGTGGAGTAAAGCTCTGAGTTATGATACCAGCTGAGCAGTCAGGGTTAATGTACTCAACAGGATTTGTTGGTTCACTCATACCACCGACTCTGAACCAGCACGTGGTCCTGCAGCCCCTCACGAGTTTATTGCTCACAGATCGGTCATGAGAACGAGCGTGTCTTAAGGCCGGAAGAAAAGAGGACCTGCGATTCTTCTTCTACGTTATTCCGTCACAGCTCCTGTTTAAGATGGCTGGCGCTGTTCCCCTCCAAATCGGACTTCTTGCTCTCCGTCTTCTTCTTGCCCTTCTTTTTGGCGTTGACTTCATTCTGCTGCTTGTGTTTGCCGTCGTCCTTCTTGGCAGCCTTCCCGGGGAACACCTGTCCCTCCACGGTGACGTCGGCGCAGCGTTCCTGGGCCACAAGGAAATCTTTGACCTCCCAGGCCATGCTGCCGTCCCGCAGCATGAAGATCACCCTGTTGGAGCCCACCACGAATCTGCAGGAGGACAGGTGGATCAGTCAGTCAGAACTCAATTTTGACCAAAACTGTAGTTACTACGGTTTGCCTTTGTAGGGCAGTAGAGACTGCCCTACATAATGTACTGCTGTTGTTTTCAGTCAGTGTGTTACAGCTTCATTAATAAAAAGGAATTCATAAACAAGGTTATATATGCTATATGATGTATGATATGGGATGCTAGAATAAGATGGGTGCAAAATATCTTTATATAAATTCATGTGTATGGGTAAATGATGTTAGATTTTAACATCTAAAATCAGCTAAATATTACCAGGCTCATCAGAGACCAGGATTTTTTTTTATTGTGAAAGCCACAAGCTCGCACATCCTCTCTGAGGAAGCAGCTGCAGCAGGAGCACAGGTGCTGCGCCAGTTAACAGAAACTTTTCCAAGAACACAACTTTCAAACCACCAAAGCAGGAGGACAAGGACGCTGTAACTGCTGGTGATGGATTCAGTGAACTGACACAGGGCTTGACTGACATCAGCAGTATGCCGTATAGTTAGAGGGGAAATCACTGGCCATTAATTCTGCTAAATAAACTACAGTTAAATTCAAGTTCAATAATGTGATTTCAATATTGGCATAAATAATCGGGATTAGTTGGGAGTTTACACACAGTTATAGTCTACTAACATCCATTGTCAATTTTCCAGCTCCAGTTGGACAATGAAGTTTAAAGTTACGTCATTACAGCGTCGCTCTTGCTTAAAAAAGCACCCAGTATCTTAAGAGCGGACAACTGGACACATTTTGGGTTTGATGAACTTATTGAGAAGCACAAACTGGACACGCTGTGTGTAAAATCTGCCTCACAGAAACCAAAATACTGTAATAGAATATGAAGTTGCTTTACACAAACAGCGATACCTGTACTCTATTTATCTGACAGCTTGTATAAATTGATGAAAAAGCAGCCATGTGCAGCAATATAGAAAACTGAGGATGTGATGCAGGGCTCCAGAGTGCGACCAATTTGGGCGCACATGCGACCAAAATATTTAAGAGTGCGACTAATAATTTTTCTAGGTCGCACTGGTGCACCTGACGCTGCCCGGGTGAAAACATAAATTTATATTGCAAGCGCATCATCTCTCTGTGTTCTCCTGTGACCGAACTCACACACTCATGGTAGGATCATATCGTGTTCTAAACCAATAAGAGACAGAGCTCAGGCGGGTCTTTGCCTCTGATTGGCTGTGGTCCTGTTCACCGCGCTAAATTGTGTGTGTTTAAAAATTGCCGAGCCCCGGTCCTTCAGCGACAGCATCAGACTCGGAACCAGAGGAGGAGATAACAGTCTGGGATAGAGCCCGGCTCTGAGACCCAAATTAAAAAGGCCAAAATATATTCCTTCAGACAGGACTGGCTGAAACAATTTCCCTGGCTGAGGTACAACAAAGGACGTAACGCAATGCACTGTGTGTACTGTCAGGAGTGTGGTCAGAATATGGCCAGAGATAGTGCATTCATGAGCGGGTCAACAACGTTTCGTATCAAACTTTTATTTGGAAATGTTTTATTTTGCTTAGTGTTTTAGTTTGAAATTTAGTTTCAATTTCTGCTCAG